CTGAAACGAACAATACACTAGAAGGAACCAAGAACAGACTAAATGAGGCAGAAGAACAGATCAGTGAGCTAAAAGACAGATTAGTGGAAACCACTACTTCGGAACAGAAAAAAGAAAAAAGAATAAAAAGGAATGAGGATAGTTTAAGAGAACTCTGGGACAACATGAAGTGCTCTAATATTCACATTAAAGGGGTCCCAGCAAAGGAAGGGGAGAGAGAGAGAAAGGCCCTGAGAAAACTTTTGGAGAGATAATAACCGAAAACTTCCCCAACTTGGGAAAAGAAACAGTCACCCAAGTCCTGGAAGCACAGAGAGTACCACACAGAATCAACCTAAAGAGGAACACACCAAGGCACATAGTTATCAAACTGACAACAATTAAGGATAAGGAGAAAATATTAAAATTAGTAAGAGAAAAGCAATGAATAACATACAAGGGAACTCCCATAAGGTTATCAGATGATTTTTCAGGAGAAACTCTACAAGCCAGAAGGGAGTGGCACGATATATTTAAAGTGATGCAAGGGGGAAACTTAAAACCAAGACTACTCTATCCAGCAAGGTTCTCATTCAGACTTGGAGAAATCAAAAGCATCACAGATAAACAAAAGCTAAAAGATTTCTGCACCACCAAGCCAGCTTTACAACAAATGTTAAAGGACCTTCTCTAGTCATCAAATCATAAGAAAAGAGAACAAAAAGAAGAGAAAAAAAAAAGAGACCTACAAAAGATTGCTTTGGCTGTTCAGGGTTTTTTATGGTTCCTTATAAATTTTGGTGTTGTTTGTTCTAGTTCTGTGAGGAATGTCGCGAGTATTTTGATGGGGGTTGCGCTGGATCTGTGGACTGCTTTGGGTGGTATGGTCATTTTGATAGTGCTGATTTTTCCAATCCAAGAGCACAAGGTATCTTTCCATTCTTTGTGTCATTTCGGTTTTCAGAGTATAGGTAACCTCCTTGGTTAAGTTTATTTCTAGGTATTTTGTTGTTTTTATGTAATGGAAATGTCTCTGCCAGTTATAAAATTCTGGTTTTTGAAGTGAAAAAAAAAGTGAATGAAGGACCACAAATGGCAAAATAGCCTTCTTTCTTATGGGTGAGTTGTATTCCATTACATATATATGCTGCATCTCCATTATCTATTCAACTATTGATGTGCACTTAGGATGCTTCCATTATCTTGGCAATTATAAATAATGTTGCTGTTAAAAAGAAAAAAAAAGAAAATTAAGATCATTTTTTAGAAGAAATTTAAAAAACCCAGAAAATACAAAATACCTACTTGTTAAATAGACCTTTAAGACCAGCTGGAATCAGGGTCAGTTTTATTTCTCTATATTGAAAGAAGTACACGAGTAGAGGCAGGTAAGAGGAAGGGGCATGTGCGAAAGGGAGAAGGGTGAGGTTTGGGGGAAGTCCCACTGTCATTTCTCAAGTTTACAAAGTGAAAAGCAACCCAGCAAGGCACAGAGACGTACTGGAAACCAGCCTATTCAAACAGGAAAGCCAAGGTCTTGCTGACTATGGTATCCCCATCACACTCAATTTAAAGAGAAATAAGAAACAAGGGAAAATATGCAGACTATTTATCCACTAAAGATTACATATCAAAGTACACATCTCATTAAGAGTGTTAAAAACAGCACAGGCAAAGGCAGTTCTGTACCCACCTATGTTCCAGCCACCAGTGTTGAATCCTGGGTCTGACATGCTTGAGCAGGAACCAGAAGAAGTAAAGCTGGGCTGCGGAGCAAATGGGAGCTGCGTGACAAGGCCATCCCCCAGGGAAAGCTGGCCTTTGGGCGAAATCAGGTTAAACCAGGAAACACCAGCTTACATATCGACTGTGGGACACCACGAGGTTGGCCGAACGGCTGGGAAAAGGCCCGAAGGGGTTGGGTATCCCCTGAGGCCGAGACTGGGCTTCAAACACACTGCAGAGCATGGCCAAAGTCTGCACATCCCGGAGTTGGCAGTAATGAGCCAACCTGGAGAAAAGGGGAACAAGGAGAGAAGAAGCCAAGGGCGGGAAGAAGGAGGGACAACAGACACCATTACATGGTGGCTTGTTGCCATCGGGTAGGAAGGGGAATTCTCTCTTTTTTTTTTTTCAATTGAAGTATAGTTGATTTACAATGTTTCAGGTGTACAGCAAAGTGATTCAGTTATACGTATATATATATAAATCTATTCTTTTTTGGATTCTTTCCCATTATAGGTTATTACAAGATAAGTGAACACAGTTTCCTGTTATATACAGTCAGCCCTGGCTGGTTATCTATTTTATATATGTTAATTCCAAACTCCTAATTTATCCCTCCCCAGAAGGAAGAATTCTTGATTCTGCCTCAAAAACTCCCATCAGGAACCAAGGCTTTCCACAGATGCAGTGGCTTGATCTCCTTTGAGTTTGGCTAACTGTGTTTGGGAGTAACATGTAGTGGAGTATTACATATGACCCAGGTAACCAATATGAAAGCTCCCAGTTGGCCTCCAGGCCTGGGCTCAGACTGGAATGTAGCTTCTCTGAGAACTAAGTAGACTTGACTCACATTCAAATGCAGTCACACATGCTCTCTCAGCCTCCCCAACTCCAAGGAGGCATCACAGTGCTTTCTGGGGGTTCTGATGACCTCCATTCATAGAACCCAAGGCCAGGGGAAGGTGCTCCAAGAGCACGGTGCCACCACAGCATGGGAGCAGGTCACAGACTTCGGAGGTGGCAGGGTGAACATGAGCTATTAAGTAAGGACAACAGGGAACGGTTTTAGCTTGCAGGTACTCGTATTCCCTTTGCTCCGTTCAGGACCACCATGCTAGACCAGGAGACAGGGATCACAAGGACTTGGCCTTAGCAATGGAGTTAAACTGATACTTTCCTACCAAGCAATGTCTAATATTTTTTAAGGTGTTTTCACACTCACTATCTTCTCAGCCCCAAACGAAGTGGGTAGAATATGCTCTAGCATCCCTGCATTACCACGAGGCAACTGAAGTGGTGCCAGGTCTGCCTCAACAGGTAAGTAAAGCAAACCCCCACCTAACAAGTAAGAGCTGCTCTATCCCTGTCAGGACTTGGGCCTGTGGAGGTTCCAATGGTTGTATCAGATTGTAAATCATTTTGCACATTGTGTTTCCAGTTTGCCATATTTCAGTGCAGTAAGTCAAACACAAACTCAATGTTTTCATAAACTGCCTAAAGGGTAAAAGCATCATGGCCTTTGGAAAATACGAAGGCCAACATGCAATTCTCTTGTCTGCTTGCAGGGGCAAGACTCTACAGCACCCGAGAAATTTTCTACCTCAAGAGCTCAAACACGGGGGTAGGATAGAGCTCAGTGATAGAGCACGTGCTTAGAATGCACAAGGTCCTGGGTTCAATCTCCATTAAAATAATAATAATAGTTTTAAAATAAAAAAAAAAGAGCTCAAACTCCTGTGTTCAGACTGATGTGACTTCTGGGCCAAAGCACAACTCTCTAAAGGACACAGGATTCTGAAATCCTTGTGATAAATGACATCTATTACATAGTTCCTCCTGCTGTAAGAAGTGAGTTCTGCATAGAAGTTCCTGCAGCACTGAATGGAAAGGTCTCACATCCTCTTACCAGGCCTCAGGCCATTGCACTTTTGTCTTAGACAGTAACACTGCAAGTGTTTACAGACCTAAAATTAACATCACTCATTTTCCTCACTTTAAGCTCTCAAAACCTACAGGGACTCCAGCAGCTGTCGCCCAAACGGATGTCGAGCCCAGGGTGTTTCCAAATCTGGGTCAGACTTCGGACCAAGGCAAAGATCTGTAGCTACCGTAGCCAGCGACCAAACCTGGACAGATCAAAGAGAAACACCCACACTCAGACCAGGGAGCCCAGGCCAGGGAACCATGGAAGCACAAGAACCCCCCTCTCCTGCATCCATAGCCCAAAGCCTTGCTACTCTGCTGGCGGCCAAAGCTGGGAGCTTACTGAAATGCAGAACTTGAGGCCCCACTCCAGACCTACTGAATCAGAATTTGCATTTTAGCAAGATTCTTGGGGAACATGTATGCACATTTGAAAAACATTCTCCTTAAAAACTTTTTATTAAGCAGACTTCAGAGAAATGACACCAGGCAATAACTTTATTGGGCAGTCTATTTAACCACTAGCTCATGTGACTTTTTCTGCTGTTTCAAACTGGCAGGGAGAAAAAAAAAAGTATTCGGTATCATACTTAAGCTCTGTCCTTTGCCCAAATAATGAAAAACCTTGTGGCTTCTGTGACAAGTTTTAGCACACTCTCTGAAGCTACAGAAAAATACGCCAAGACAAAATAGACTCGGCTTTCTTTTTGTTGACATCAAATCTTGGGACTTAGAGTCATCAAGCAGAAACTCACATCCATGAAGCGCTACTAAATCCAAGATCTAGCACACGCTAAATACATCATTCCTTCAATAGAGCCCCTTGTCCTCCATACCTTTAAAAATGGAATACTACTTTCGGGAAATCTTTGTTAGTAGCAATATATCGTTGTATGCCCACTAACTGGAAAGCTGTACTAGACTCCGAGATAAACTCAAAAGGAAGAAGATACAGACTTTGAATCAAGGAGTTTAAAATAGAAGAAAAAAGAATAAGCAAATAAAAATACTGAAAAACAGGTATAGAAACACATCAGATAAGTGAAAAAGAAATCAATTAAATCGTGTGGCACCAACATACTTAAATAATACCCACGAGTACTGGTTTAGGTGAGAAACATTCATGTCTATAACCAGTGGCACACCTGTATGGTTGCTACAGGAAGTTAATGGGTTTCTGGGATAGGAAAGTTTGTTTACTCCCCTGGTTGACAACTTGGGCACATTGTTTCCTCACTTCTAACACACATTTCCTAAATGCCTTCAACAGAAATAGCTGACACTAAGGTTTATTTATTTCTGTAGCTCTTTGCAAAAGGATATACACATCATCTTCAAAATGTGCACAAAGAATTTTTAAAAAATTCTCCAAGCATCTGCACCAATGTCATTTCCATCTCATAAGCAATGCCAAACCACAATGATGACTGTAATTGCAAGAACAGCAGCAATAACTTACCACATATTGGGTATTTACCATCTACCAGATACAGGAATGGAAATTTTACAGGCTACCTTATTTAGTTCCTGTAAGGACCTTAGAAGTATTCAGTTTTGTTTTGTTTTGGTTTGTTTGTTTGTTTGTTTATTTAACACAAGGACATCTATTTTCATAGAAAAAATAGGGAGGTATAGCCGACCAAGAGTTAAAGTTAACAATGGCAATCTCTGGGGAGGCGGGTATAGCTCAGTGGTAAAGTGCATGCTCAGCATGCACGAGGTCTTGAGTTCAATCCTCAGTACCTCCATTTTAAAAGTATCCCCCCACCAAAACAAACAATGGCAATCTCAAGAGCGGTGGATTACGGGGGAAGCCCACAGTCTACACTTTCCTAATGTTTGATGCTGCTTGTTATCTTTCCCCTACAAATAGCTTGCGTTAAATTTTATCATCACCGGTTTAGGAGCAACGTAATTGCATCCTTCAGAATGGCACCGTGCCCTCTGGGTGTGCACCCAGGAAGGCCGGCGCCTGCAGGTTGTGGGCACTCGCTCTTCCCACACTGTGTGAACAACTGCACCGAAGCCACGCGAGTCCCAAGGAGGCGCACGCAGTCTGAGACCAGCGAGGGTGCGGGGATCCCCTCGCCCTAAAATCTTCCTTATCCCAGTGTTCGATTGAGGGAAAGGAACCGAGCAGAAGGATCTTTTGAACCTCCATAAGCCTGGTTCCATTCCCGTCAACCCTGCAGCCTCCCGGTTCTGCTTCTACCTCTGGGCAGGCCGGGGAGGATGGACCTTCGCGGTTCAGGAGCCTCCCGGACGCGCTTCATCTCTTATTTTCCTCAAGGCCGCTCCACGAGGAAAAACATGCCCCGACCAGGGCAGGAACTCCCCAGGCACCCTGGTCCCGCGGCGAATGCGGCCGGCCAGGCCTTCAGCTTGCGACGCAGACCCTGGAGGACGCCCCGGCCACTGCTAACGGCCGTCTGGTCCACACAGTTCCCAGGTGTCGCGCAAGAGCCCACTAAGCACACGTGCGGGAAAGCCCCTGCGCATGCGCATGCCCATCTGTCTCTTCCCTATTTTACAATTGAGGAAGCGGACGTTTAGGATGATGAAGTGGTTCCCTAGGCTTGCACAACCCAAGAGTGACAGAGCCCTGGTGTAAACCCAGGAGTGTCTGAAACCGAGGGTGTGTCTTTCCACATCTCTCAGTCTAGCCCGACCTTCCAAACCAACCCTGCCAGAAAAGTACTGGAAATTTAAAAAGGAAAAACAAAAATAAAAACACTTTAGGAAATCATTTTTCCTCAGAGAATACTTTTTCAGAACATGAACCAATCTTCTCATCCCCTCTACGAAGTAATGACTCTTGTGGGTGTCATTCTACAAATATACACAGAAGCTGAGAGAGTCCAAAATTCTGTGCCCAGGGCTACACCACTGTTGAGCGGCAGCGGGCCTGTGCCTCCAGTCAGAAATTCCACACTATTTTATTTCCCCTACTTCGTTTTGCCTTCTCAGTGTTTGCAAAATTTTAGGTGGCGGGGTCCTTAGAGAAATAGATTAAATCTGTGACTCAAGTTTCACTTAAAAGGGTTTGGGGCAGAGACAGGACAGTGTTTACTAGGAGACAAATGGAAATCTTTAGATTTTTAATCAGGTAAAAATCAAGGGAAGGTCTTAGCTCTGGATCACTCGGAGGGTTCTAAGGAAAAACTAAGCAGACAGGACAATAGTATTTTTCATCACTCAATCTAACCCTCCTATTAAAGAATAGAGGGTGCAATGGAGACAGAACATAGGTTAGTGGCTGCCGAGGGCTGGGTTGGGGAAGAGGACACTGACCAGTGATAGATAAGGGGTGTGGGCTGCCTTTATAGGGTCATGGAAATGTTCCAAAATTGCAGCGATGGTTCCGAAACTCTGTGAATATTCTAAAAGCCACTGAATGGTACACCTTAAGTGAGTGAAATGTATGGTCTATGGACTTTAATCTCAATAAAGATGTTAAAAAATACATATAGAGATATATATATGTAGATATATAGATACATAGATATAATATATAGGAGCAACTTGCTTTAATGCAATGATGTGTTTCCAGCAAAGATGAAGGAAATTTAAAGTTTTGTAATATTACATCATATTTAAAAACTGAGTATGTCTCCGTCTTAAGGAATACTTTGATAAACCTTTTATGAAATGAAGCATTTTTAAAAGTAAAAACACAAGGAGCAGGGGAAAATACAGCAGTTGTAGAGCACATGCTTAGCATGCGTGAGGCCCTGGGTTCAATTCCCAGCACCTCCACTGAAAAAAAAAGTAAAAAACAGAATTGAGGGTGCAAATAACAAAGATACAGATATCCACATTGAAGTATATTACAATCACCATGGCACTAGCATAGAAAAGAGATGTTACGAAAATACTTAGTAAATGCTTTAGGGCCTTCTCAACTAAGCAGCAATAAGAAAAATATCCAAGGGATTAAGACAGCTGTTCTAGCCCTGTAATTTGGCAAAGAAAATGGGAAAGGAATTACAAAACAGGAGGCACACCTTGAAATGTCACTCAACCACAACTATAAAGTGAAAAGAACCTGCTCAAAAAGACAAATCCAGATCTCCAACCAAAGGGATGGAAAAATACCTGGACAAGATCCTTCCTCCCAACAAGCAAGGCGGAAGTAGCATTCTTCTGACATGTTTCTTGAATGTCATTCACATTCAATCTGAAATTAAAAAAGAATTTTAAAGTTTCTTTCCAGTCTGACTTCCTAAATCAATTACTCCTGGTTTAACAGATAAACTAAACCCTGTGTCATTAGTTGCCACTCACAATGTTTTATTTGTATTGGCCCTAAGTTCCCTTTCAGTGCAAGGGGTTACCTACAGCTGAAGTGATGCTATGAGTTCAGGCCTGGGGAAGGTGAAATTGCTCACCTCTTCAAAGTCAGGGGAGGAGGCCAGACTCAAAGACCAATTTGCCAGCCAGCTTTTCTGGGAAGTTCCCCAGGCTTAAGGGTTGAATAAAAACTGATTTAGATAACGTGTAATATTGACTATAGTTTCTAACGCAAGGAGTAGTATGCTGTGTATATATAACAGAATAAATATTTTTTGTTATGTGTTCAAGTTCAGGAAGAAGGGGAACCACAGGCCAGCTTCTGTGTGCCTGTCACTCACCTCCCAACTCCCTTCAACCAAAGTGGCTCTGCTTTGAACTGTTTTACATATTGAATGTAGGATGCAGAATTTTGAGACTGTTCACAAGATTTCTGCCCCTGCTGGATGCACTTTGTATGAACCCTCCCTTTAACTGGCAAGACCAGTAAATACTGATGGGATATCACTCCAAAGATCATCAAAGGGAGATTCTCCTGGATGGGCCTGACCTAATCAGGTGAGACCATAGCTGCGGAAGCATCAGACACTCCAACTGGTATCAAAGAAGATGAACCTCCCAGAGTTCTCTGGCTGCAAGGAACTGAATTCTGCTAACAATGTGAATGAGCTTGGAAGCTGGCTGACTCTGTGATTTCAGCCTGGGGAGACCCTGAGCAAGGACCCAGGTAAGCCACGCCTAGACACCTGACCCAGGAAAACTGTGAGATAATCAATGTGTGTTGTTTAAGTCATCAGGTTTGTGGTCATCTGTCATGCGGCAGAAGAAAGCTAAGGCACTGTGCTTCTCCTAAAACTGCTTTTGAAGAGAGGATACCAGTATCTTGAAAATAAATAAATGACTCTGATACTTATGTCTCAGTGAGAAGCACGGTGCAGCTGAAATTTTGAACTTACATATACAGTTCTCCCAGTGACTTGTGAACAGGAAGAAGGCAGGCGATATCCTGAATGATCACTTTCCCAGCAGCCTTGATTGGTCGATTGCCAGAGTCTGATCCCTCACGCTTACTTTTCCACCTCCTTGATTTCTGGGGGAGACAACAAGATATAACTAATGGGGACTTGGATGCATGGAAACCTAGGGCAGCAGAGCATAGCACAGCTGGGTCATTGGTAATTTGCAGAGACTTTGCATTATATCATGCCCACAATTATATGAATCAGCATCTGTAGGAAATAAAAGGATGACAAAGGGCATTGAGCTCGTGGTCCAAAGTCCTAATAGGAAAATAAGCACTCACTGCAGTGCTCTATACATTCTGCAGGTGCTCAAAAATAGATACCTTGAATTAAAAAGAATAAAGAAAGGAAGAACGGCTGGTAAATAAGTTAGTAAAGACCACAAAAGTGTGGGAGAAGAGCAACTTTTAAGGTTGGCTTCAGCCCTAGGTTCAAAGTTCTTGCTTGAAACTAATCAGAGTCTATTTTTTCTTTTCCTTTCAGTTTTAATAGGATTTCTTGAAAATTTAACTCAGACACAGCAGTGTGGGATCTGCAAAACTTCATCAGTGGGAGGCAGACAGAGAAACTTAGCAGCTCAAGGAGAATCACCCTGTTTTTCCTAGTGGATTTGAATTATCTCTAAAATTGATCATTTAGAGTGTCAAAAATACCTGAGCAGAGGGACCTGGGTAATGGACGTGGAAGATCATGAGCAATTATCCTATTTCCCCAGAGCCTTCCCGACAAAGGGCCACAGAGGAGCCTGTGTGTGAGAAATGAGAGACGTCCTGGAAAATGAGAATTATGAGAGCATAGCCCCATCTAGTATCTTCAAAATGCCAACCAGCCAAGGGAGCAACATTCTATTTTATTATATTGCCAGCAGTTGGAAAGGGGGCCACCAAAGTGATTCAGGAGGGAAGTGACATATTTATTAACAAAGAAGGCAAAAGGAATGAGTGAAAGGGTCTGTAATGTGGAGTCAGAAAACCAAGATTTGCTGGTCTTATTACCACATGGATTGGCTCAGTGTGACCCTGGGCATGTTCCTTTTTTGCTGCAAATTCAGGCTCAGGCCACTCTCCCTTTGCTCATTGGTCATTTTGGGCTCATGATGAGCTCTGTGGTTCTAATTTCAAAAGGTTAATCAGGGGACAATGAAAAGGTAAGAGTGTAAAGTATAAACTGAAAAAGTGTAATTTAACTATCTATAACTGTTACGAATGCACAGAAACTCTTGGGTATGTAGATTAGATCATTATTTAGATAACTCCCAGATAAATTCATTTTCCACCAGTGATTTTTATACAATTGCTCTTCCAGAAATTAGTCACTTTATATTCAGGCATTTCTGACCGCTGATGTCCCATCTAATCCCCAAAGTTGTCCAAATGCATCTAACTTCCTATAGGATTAGTGTCATGGAACCTACTAAACCCAGGACACTCAGACTCAGCACATGGCAAGTAAATGCAGACATTGAGCTAAAGTATCTGAATTGTTCATCATAATTTGTAAATACATATGCCACATTATCAATTTCGAACCTTAACCCATTTGGTCTTAGAAGCAGTTCAGTTACTATTTATCCATACACAAGTCATTGTTCTGCAATACAAAAGGAAGCTTCAGCTATTCCTGGCAGGTAGCCCTTCAGTTCTCTGCTAGCTCTGTTTATTTTCTAAAGAAGATCCCTGATGTGGGTGCAAATAAGGGGAGAGTGGGTTCAAGAGCAAACAGCCTATTAGAATGGGCTGAAGCCAGGCAATGACAACCCACATAATACAGTGTCGTCCCACGTGCACAAAGCACCTTGTCCAGTTTTAGGCAGGGTGACTCGGAGTACACTGACCCAGAAGACAGGAACCAGCATGACGTGGTTAACTGGAATAGGGAGGGCCTAAGTCCACAAACTCATTCCACTGTGATTTTCCTCCAGGTTTCCAGAAGTTTAAAAATCCTAGGAAATGACACACCCCCAGATCCCATGTAATGAGTCATCTCAAATGAGATTTAGGATTTTTTCCTAAAGGCAGAAAGAAAAGAGCTACACTAAAAATATTCTGCCTGGAATTAAAAAGGATCCACTTAATTTCTTCTGGGTTGTTTGAAAGGCTTCTAAAACACTGTTCCAGGCATTCAGTCTGGCTCCTTATTAAAGAGAAAATGAGAAGCCCTTGAACAAGTGAGCAACTGACTACAGCTCCATTTAACTAAACAGCAGAAACCAATGGAGGCCTCATGAGGGATGCGGTCTATTGCTTTCAGATCACACCAGAAACATCCACAATTCCCTGACTTCTTAAGCAAACCTAATGAAAGCATAATATTAAGGCCCCTGTGCCCCAAGAGGTTCATTTGCAAATAGACTAGTTCATGTAAGAATGTTTCTCCTAGCAGACTTGAAATGTTTCTAAAAAAGGATCATTTTTAGAATGTCAAAAATACTTGAGTGGGGGACCTGGGTAATGGACGTGGAAGATCACTAGCAATTATCCAATTTCCCCAGAGCCTTCCAGACAAAGGGCCACAGAGGAGACTGTATGTGGGAATGAGAGATGTCCTGGACACAAATCCAAGTGTACAGATGCGTGACTTGGTATTTAAAGACGTGTTTTATTGTGGACGACACTAGCTCCCACAGCACCTGACAGAGGGGGCCCTGCCTCCGCTTTACTAATCAGGGTGTGAGGCTTACTCAAGGCCACCCACTCTCCTAAGAGCTGAGATCTGAACACAGGCTGTCAGGCTGCTAAACCCACACTTGTTAACCTGAGCAGGATTTTAGATGAAAAGGCAGGAAAAAATTAAGTCCTCACTAACCCATGTCAATAGTTTGGTCCATTTAAAAATGAATCCATTTCTTCATATAAGGAGATCAACGTCTGATATGCGTGAGGCCTTGCCAACACACTGTCATCTACAATTACTCACTTCTAAAGCCTCTTCTCTGCCAAGCACTGGGACTGCATTCTGCAGAGCCAGAGTACCGTGCTCCTGCGACAACAGGCTTCACAGGCCAGGCTCAGACCAAGATGCTGGGTTTCAGACCAAACTCACAAGACTGCACCTGGCACTGTGTGATCTCTTTTCTGGATTTGTTAGGATTCAGCACATTCAAGAGAAAAGAAAACTCAGAGTCCAAACAGACATTTCAGGGCTCTTCTCCCATTTGTAGTCTTGGGTTAGAGACATTGGGAGAAACCAGGCCATGTGAGTCAGAGTCATCAATAAGGACTTTTTTTTTAAAAAAAAACACTTTAATTTTGTGGGGTTTTTTTTCGGGGGGGGAGGTAGTAATTAGGTTTATGTTTTTACTTATTTTGATGGTGGTACTGGGGTTGAACCCAGGACCTCGTGCATGCTAAGCACATGCTCTACTACTGAGCTACACCCTTCACCCATCAATAAGGACCTGATAAGTGGGGGGAAAGTATAGCTCAAGCGGTAGAGTGCATGCTTAACATACATGAGGTCCTGGGTTCAATCCCCAGTACCTCCTCTAAGAATAAATAAGTAAACCTAATTACCTTCCCCCACCAAAGAAAAAAAAAAAAAGGACCTGATGAAAATGTAAAGACAGTGGTCTGGGGTGATTTTCTGCAATTGTCCTTCCCTGAATTATGGAAATCAGAGTCTATATTTCCTGGGACTTCCTTGTCAACTTCTTTAGACACTGGGCTTGCAGGTGCTTCCCTCTTTGATCTGTACTGATGTACAGGTGATGTTTTAGGGAATCTCGCTAAGCTGCCTCTGAGCCTATAATAGAAGGAGACTCCTCAACACAGGATCACCCAGATTGTAGCTGCCACTAAGAATCAAACTGTAAAAAAAAAAATTAAGGGACAGCTCTTTTTGTTCATTTAATCCAGCAAGGAATAACTGCAAAACATTATTTTAAAAATCTTTCAGAGGGTCACAAGATAGTTTTGTTTAATTTGGTGGTTGATGGTTTTTAAATATGAAATATTTCCCATTCAGGCTACAGAGGTCACTTAGTAATCCAGTTCCGCAGCCAATTATTCTGGAGATTCAAATCCAACCAGGCTGCCTGAATGAAGATACAGTAAATTTTAAATCAGATGCTGGGACCTTAGGTCCCTGCTGCTCCCTAATGAGCATGAATAATGTTTCAGGGTGTTTCCTCCAGTGCTTTGGCAACAAAAGGGGTTCAGATCCCATCCATACCTCTCCAAGACTTCTCTGTCTTAGTATCTTGCTGGTGATTTTAGGAGTCTTTCTTGTCTGAACAACTGTCAGGTGACAACAACAGTGACACACCGGGCTGAGGTGTGGCTGTCCCCTCCAGGTGAAGGGCACTGTGGCCCCAAAGCCCCCTAAACATCCTGCATTGCTCCGGTCCCACTCTGACAGGCTTAAAATGTGGACACTTTTCTGTGCAGTAAAATTAGTACCTCTAGGAGGCCAAAGACTGCACTTCTCTTAGATCTTCTCAATGCCCCAGCAAGAGAAAACACCCCTTCCCCACAGATTTCATGAGCAGGGATTGAGGGAGGAGAGACAAAGCAAGACAGACAAGTTATCACACGATGAGACCAGGATGCTCCTCTGAACAGACCAAGAAGGTGTTCATGGAATTATGGGAAAGAGGACAGGGGAGAACGGGGTGGGGAGGGAGGCACTGGTGTGGAGAGCACTGAATGACAACCAATAGCCAGCTTGCGACTGTACCACCAGTGTTACTGCTACAATCGGAGGCAACATCAATGCCAATAAACGGGTTAAATGTAAAAAGAGCCCAAGAATAAGCCACCAACTGCTTCGCAGCAACCCCATCAACAATACATAATCAGTGGAGTGGGCACTGAGTCAAAATGAGTTTCTATTTAAATAGCAGCAGGAGCAGGCACTTCTGGAAAATCAGTGGAAACACAGCAGTCGGGTCGGTGGGACAGTCTTCTGAAGAAAGGTGGCCATGCTGGCGGCTCTGCCTCCAAGTTGTTGGGCAGCAGTGGTACTTGCTCATCAGGGCTCCGGATTTCAACTGGTTTATATATGAAAAGGCTGTAAGACTATCCCCCCTAAATATTTTTTTTTAACACCAAATGAAAATTTATACAAAAGCCTCAAGGCTGCCTTGCACAGCCTAAGGTCATCTTGGCACTACTGAAACATGAAGAGGGTGGAGAGGAAGACAGAAGAGGAGAGAATAAGCAAGAGAAAAGGAAGAGAGGATGTCTATAGCAGAGATTTCGTTATCAATATTGATGGCAAGGGGAAAATCTGCCCCAGGAAATTCCCCAAGGATTAACAACTAGCTTAGGCGTCATGCCAATGAAGCAGGTAGGTACTTCCCTCTGTGAACTAGACCAAGATGATAAACCAAGAGACAAAATGGTAGAAGCCTCTTATATCTTCCTCTGCTGCCCACCCCCCATGCCAGAGGTAGGCTTTTGAAAGCTCTATGAAATTAGAGAAATATTCCAAGAGAAATCAGGTGAGCTAAAGGCTTATAATCAGGGTTCTTTCCAAGAAACCCAGTATTTAGCCTCATTTTCAAAGAAGTCCATTCACCATCTTTAACGGCATTAGTATGCACCCATTTGAAACTGATGGAACCAGCAGGCAAGTTCTTGGTGCCCGACTCCCAGGAGTGAAAAATTGATCGTGCTGGTCCTGAAAACCAGCCAACCTGTCATTTCAGGTTCCTCAAAGCCAGGCAGGTGGCATTTTATTCTTGGGCCTTTGGGCAGAGACAGGATTAGTTAAGGAGAGCATTTGCACAGCGCACAGTACCGGGAAGTCGTTAATTGCTTGTATGGACCAACGCCGCCGGGCAGAGCGAGGAGACATCTGTGCGTGAAAACGTTACACCCAGGAGGAGGGAAGAAAAACACCAAGAAAATTAAAAGGGAAAAATATAGAGTAAAATGAAAGCTTCCTACACATCTGCTGGATTCTAAGATACCATAATCTACTGCAAAATTGGGATTGGAATGACTGAAAAAATCTGAACGTCTCAGAACAGCAGTATTCGGATTCCCTCTACCCACCCAGCCCCATCCTGAACCCATCACACCCCGTACACAGCATCAGTGTTTATGTCCTTCAGTCCAAAATACATTTCAAGATATTAGGAGGCTGACGTCCACATGGCTCTGACAGAGGAACTATGATGGAGATTTGTGGTTCTCTTATGATTAAGATCATAAGATCGTAACAGGTGAGAGCTCTGCTTCCCCTTCAAGAGCCACAATGTGTGAGAAGATTCTCATTCCTTAAAAGGAAGAAGTTCCTCGACAGATTCAACACCAAATTGTTTTTGGTGTGTGGCTGGGGGCACTGGGGAATTGAAAGTCTTGACCTTAGAACCGCAGGACCATCCTCAGGATGGAGCCACAAGGAAGCGAGAGCCCGAGAAATGAAGGTGACACTCTCTAGGGCTCCTGCCAACCACATGAGTGTCCGTGTGAAACAGGGAGGGCAAAACACTGGGGGAATCAGAAATTCTTTTCTCTCTTTTTTTGGGGGTCAGAATTCCTTTTTTTTTTTTAATTGAAGTATAGTTGGTTTACAATGTGCTAATTTCTGGTATACAGCAAAGTGATTCAGTTATACATATATATATTCCTTTTCATATTCTTTTTCATTATAGGCTATTACAAGGTATCGAATATAGTTCCTTGTGCTATACAGTAGGACTTTGCTGTTTATCTACTTTACATATAGTACTTAGTATCAGAATCAGACATTACTCTATTAACTTCAAGATCTCCTTAGTTATTTACATTAGAGCTATTTCAGTAACCTAAACTAAAGCAAATGTGGGAGGGTGCCAATTTAAAAAATGTTTAGAGGGCAATGCCTGATGTTTACTGTAAGTTTAATTTACCTTTTAATTTACCCTAAGAATAAATAATATTTCATCAGCTATTAATAGTTGGTCTAGTTACCAACTGAATGTTAGCATCTCTCTGTGCTTTCTAACTTCCTACGAAATGTGATTTTTTTTTCTTTACATCTCTCACACTTAAAAAAATTTTAAGAGTGAACACTGAAATTCCATCTGGAGACTATCTGGGTGATATAACAATATAACCTAAGTATGGCAAGTTAAAAACACACAAAAACAAAAGAAAAGAGTCCCCAGTGGCTGTATGGAAATTTCTGGTAATCTCCAAAATACTCTGTAATTCCTTCATTGCTATATTTCAATGCAGTTGTATTCTTTTCCTTTATTCTTAGTCATTTAAAGCTCTCAGGGGTAGAGACCTAAACAGAAATAAAGTATGTAGGAGATAAAATTTGGGCTGAAAATGAAGACTTAAGTACAGAAAAATTTAGTAAACTGGAATTGCTTCCAGGAAAAAAGTAATAAAAGTGATATTATTTAACCTGTGAAACTAGATACCTGAGGATCAGAAAATATTCCTCGAGGGATAAAACTGTATTGCCTTCTGTGAGGAAGGTAAGATGGCCTATATATGATATTATGGCCTTTTTTCCAAATCTTTAATTCCTCTCCTATGCCCCATGTAAATGGGATGGATATGAACAAACTTCAAGGAGAATTTATGAATTTATTTCAGATTCATCACAAAATGACTGACTTCAGTTATTAATAACTGATTTTAGCTTCTCCTTAGGTTGAACCACATGAAATTTTTTTGAGGTCAAAGCATGGTGAAGTATCAGCAATTTTATATGATTTAACCTAACAATTACTTTATGTCATCCATTAAAATATGCCTCCCTCCCCCAGGGCTTCCGGGTATCTTAGGATATTCTATTTATTGGCCTGTGTGACTGTTAATTCACTGAATTATATATCTATGAATCATGACCTTTTCTTTATATATGTTATACATTAATACAAAAGTTTCATATGAAATTATATAAAAGTGTCTCCCCCTACATTTTGTTTGGTCACTGTCTGAAATAAAATCCAGAGACCACTTACTAGGTCATCCTAGGGGACTATAATAGCCCATTTTCTGTGGAGAAGCAGCACACTGGAAATCACCCCAAACTGAAATAACACAATCCTTCCTCCACTCCTCAGTAGATCCTGTCTGATAAGAGGTAATTATCCACGTGCCTTTGGTCTCTCCTCATGATTACGGTGTTTGTAATAAAAGAGGCCAGACCACCAAAAACACAAATGTAGGCTTTACAAATGCTTCTGCATTAGGAGAGGTCCCATCTCAGAACTGGAGTTATTTTGACTAAACATGGTCTTTACACATTATCACAGGGACAAAAGTGCTAGTCGATCTGTGTTGCCCAATCCGAACCCAAGCATGAGTAGCATGTGGCATGATTGGAAGGGGAATTCAGAACTGCCTCTTTGACTAAAAGATCTCCTCAACCTGACCCTGATACTACAGAAAATCCCCACATTTACCCCACCGTGAGTTTGCTCAGCTTATTACATCAGTAAAATGCCTGAGTTCCAACCAGTATATCAAATCATCTAACTAATTACCTGCTAGCTTGCAGAAAAAAGAAAAAAATTTTTTCTTAATATAAAGGACTTGGGAAGATCAAGGTATTCCAAGGAGTGTGACAGCTGGGGCTGGTGGTGAACCCCATTAGAGATTTGAAGAAGGGGACTGGAAAGTTGGCTAGAAAGGCAACAACAAAAAAATCACTTCCCCATTCAACTGAAGGTTTTGCCCAAGACTGGTCCTGCCTCAAGCATCAGTTCCTGCCACTCATTTTGGTCACATACACCCCTAACACTGGGGAAAGTCAGAGACGGCCAACCATCACGTCAACTGGACAGTTAGACACTATACTGCAATTGAAGTGAAAACACCTCTAACACTTGCTGGAAATAGGAGTTTTATTTTAAGTAACTCAATTTTTTAAAAAAACATAAATTTTAATTATAGTCAATCTATCATTTCTCAATTAGTGGGGGACAGCAACAAAGATAAGGACTGAGTCTGTGAGTAGCTCAGTGGTAACCATTTAATACTTCATGGCAGTTAAATGCTGGTTTAAGCCAGACTCAATCTGACAACACAGAAAGAGTTCCCAGAATCATTCCTAGTCTCTCCCGACATTCTCTACATTGTTGTCGCCAAAGGCGTCTGACAGCTTAACAGCTACTTTAAGAGTAGTTCCTTGAGAACCCAGGAACAGGAGGACAGTTTCAGGTAGTTTCTGTATAAACTGGTCCATTCCAATGGATATTTCAGTGCAGATTTAGTATAAAGTATAAAACCTATTAGAGGTCAACTCTAAAACTTCTCACAACTATGAAGCTCCAAATAAATCAGTATTCTAAGCCTTCCGAAGCATCCCTTAATTTGCTGGCAAATATCAGAATACCAAGGAAGATCTGAAGCTAAATGATTCTGAGAGAATGGGAATCAACTTAATTAATGGAGGTCACAAGGACAGGGTTAAAGAGAGGAAAGAATACAGATTACAACAACCCCTCACCCCCCATATAACTTACTGTGGTTAAAACCAACTGAAAGGAACAAAGCAATGGTCTTTTTTTAACGCACTGACTATGAAAGGGAAAGACTTTGGGGGATCGCTAATGTGGCTGCTGTGTGTGGCAGGCAGGGAGACACCAAGAATCTGGGGAAGGGATGAGAATCCAAGGCCATGGCTCTGCCACTTACCCGCTCCTTGTAGTAGAAGCTGCTGATGGAGACCTGCTCCTTCTCACTGCGCGTGGGACTCCCACTGTACAAACGGAGGTTCCCCGGGGCCTCTGTGCGGATCTTCATGGGTGCAATCAAGCCAGTGTGATAAGCAGACAAGGCCGAGAGAGATCTGTGGTTGAAAATACACAATTACCCACATTGGTTTCAGTCTTCCCATATTTCTAAGCAGTGCTGTTCTTAACACTTGATGAAACTAAGGAGGAAAGACATAAAATGAGGAAACAATGGAAACACCAAAAAAAGAACCAAACAGAACTTTTAGAACTGAAAAATACTTAATCTGCAAAAACAGAGACTGTTTCTATGACTATTAACATATAAAATTCAAAGGAATCTACACACTACTTAAACGTGAATTTAGATACGAGGTCAATCTACAATAATCTCCAGTATTTCTGTATATTAAAAACAAACATTTGGAAAATAAATACTTTTTAAATTGCCTTTATAATAGTCTCAAGACACACTAAATACCTATGAACAAATTTAAAGGAAAAATGTGCATTGAAAATACGAAATACTGCTGCGAGAAATTAAAGAAGACCTGAAACAATAGACTGTTAGTAGACTGGAAGGTTCCATGTTGTTAAGATGTCAATTTTCCCCAAACTGATCAACAGAACAGACACAATTCCAATCAAAATATGAGCAGAATTTTGTAGAAACCAGTAAACTAATTTCATATTTTTGCAGAAATGTGAAAAATATAGAATAGACAACACAATGTTCAATGAAGATAATAAAGTTGGAGGCTTAAACTACCAGATTTGAAGACCTACTATACAAACCTGCATTAAGAGTATATGTTGACGGGGGAGTATAGCTCAGTGGTAGAGCACTTATTTAGCATTCATGAGGTCCTGGTTCAATTCCCAGCACCTCTATTAAATAAATAAATAAATAAATAGATAGATAAACCTAATTATAAATAAATAAATAAACAAGATTATTTTAAAAAGTGTATGTTGGCATAAGGATAGACCAAGAGATCAAAGGAAAAAATAAAATCCAGAAATAGATCCAAAACATATGGTCAACTGATCTTCAACAAAGGTTTCAATGAAAATCCAGTAATAGGGAAACCTTTTCCATAAATGGGCTATATATATATATATATAACAACTATATATTCTCTATTAAGAAAAAAAAAGTACCTACCTACCTGACCCCCTACCTCACATCAAACACAAAAATTAATTTGAAGAAAAATTAACATGAGATTGATTACAGGCCTTAAATAAGGAATTAAAAACTACAAACTTTAAGAAGAAAACTCAGAAGAATATTTTCATCTTGAGACAGGTGGAAACTTTTTTTTATGACAGGACACAGAAGCACTAACCCCAAAATTTAAAAAGTGATAAACTGAACTGCATCAAAATTAAAAACTGCTGATAACTGAAAATTGTTAAGGAAGAAAGACAAGCCACAGATGAGGAGAAATCAATACATACATCCAGCAAAGGATATGCAACCAGAAATGATAAAGAATTATCACAAATAGATAGTAAGAAACACAGTCAAAAAAAAAACCAGTCTAAAAAAAATTGGGCAAAGAACTAGAACAGGCACAACACAAAAGACGATACCCAAGTGGTCAATTAGCACACAAAAGCTGCTCACCATCATTAGTCATCACCATGGAAGCACAAATGAAGCCACAACAATACTACACACCCACCAAAATGGCTAAAGTTGAAAAAACTGAAAATATCAAGTTTTGGGGAGGATGTGGAGCAACCAGAAGCCTGAAACATTGCTGTAAGAATGTAAAAATGGAACAACTGCTGGGGTCTGACTTTTTGGCAATTCTAATAAAATTAAACACACCTATCTTATGCCTCAGGGAGTCTACTCCTTGGGTAGAGAAATGAAAATACATGTCCATAAAAAGACTTGTATGTATAGGCCTACACATAATAAAGTAAAAACTGGAAATAATCCAAATGTCCATCAATGGGAGTATGAATAAACAAACTGCATTATTGTAATACAATGGAACTACTGATATACATAACAATGTGGATCAATTTCAGAAATATTAAGTTGAGCAAAATAAACCAGACCTCAAATAGTAAATGCTGCATGACTCTATTTAGATGAAGTTCAAGCACAGGCAAAACTGAATGAACTACAATGATGGAATCAGAGAAGTAGTTTCCTCTGGATAAAGGGACCAGGGAACTTTTGTGGATGAGGACAATGTTCTATACCTTGATCTAGGTGCTGGTCACCAAGGCACAGACGCCACATTTGTCTTATAGATTATATCTCAATAAAATACTGTTAGCATGAAAAATGTTCTAACAGGAACATTCTCCCGCTGACCTAAAGTCCAAATACAGTTATCTGTTGTTTCCCTTTGAGAGTAAGTTATTATTTTCTAGTCCAACCTTCAGAATAAGGAATCTGGTGTCATGTAGGGGTTTCTCTGGCATTTAACTCCCAGCCTTGTGGAGCAAGATCTCATCTGCGTGGGGTACTGCAGAGACTGGTAAACTCCCAGGGCAGCAGCAGTGCCTGCTCATACACTTGGTTTATGTCCTTTCTTGCTTGTTAGCTTAGCTATTCATTTTAAGTATGCTAATTATATCATATCCAATATAACCAGGTGTTTGTAGCAGGAGAGTTTCCAAGTTATCCTGGTTACCACACTGCAGAACCAGAAACCTATGGTATAATATTTAAGTTTAAAAAGCCAATAGTGGGGGGAGGTTGTAAATGTCTATGAGAACACTCTGTACTGTGCACTCAATTTTGCTATGAACCTAAAATTACTCTAAAAGATAAAGTATATTAACTAAGGGAAAAAACTTACTATATGATCCCAGCTATCCAGCTCCTAGGTATATATCCAAGAAAAATGAAAAAACTATACATATATATCCACACAAAAATTTGTATAGAATGTTCACAGCAGCATTACTCAAAATAGTCAAAAAGTGGAAACAATCCCAATGTCCACTGACTGATGAATGAATAAATAAAATATGGCATCTATGTGTGACGGAATATTATTTGGCAAAGAAAAGAAATGAAGTTCTGATATACAATATGCATGATCCTTGACAATACACTAAGTGAAAAAAGTTAGCTATAAAGGGACACATATATAAATCCCTTTATATAAACTGTTCAGAATAGGCAAATTTATTGACAAAAAGTAGATTAGTGTTTGCCCAGGGCTGGAGGGATAGGGCACGGGTGCTTCGGGACTGGGGTGACTCATAAGGGATGCAAAGCTTCTTTCTGGGGTAATGAAAAGGTTCTAGAATTGACTGCAGTAATGGCTGTATGTATCACTATACAAGGATGGTAATGTTAGAAGTGGCCTATGACAATTATAAATAATGTTGATTCTTAATAGCAGGGTGTATGTATCTTTTTGAATTAATTCTTATTTTGTGGTTGGCTTTTATTCCTTATATTCCTTTGTAAGTTTAAAAAGCTAAAGCTGTAAACATTCTTAGAAACAATGAACAGTACATATATGTAAATTTTTTAAAATATGTGCAATATATTGTATATGTGTATTTACATGCAATATGTTGTATATGTGCAAGCTGTAACAATTCTACCTAATAAAACTGAAAAATTAAAAAAGAAAGAAGTGGCGTATGAGTGTTACAGGACTACAGATGATCTCTTTTGTTATTTTTCTATTTTTATTTAATGTTCAGATAATACTTTAGCAATAGGGGAAAAGTACATTAAAAAAGAATTTGCCTCGTTTTGACAACAGCTTTTATCAAGCAACTCCTTCTAGTAGTAATTTTACAGTAGAAATCTAAGCTTAATTGCACTTTAATGAAACTTGATCTTTCCAGGAATAAGTTAGAATGAGTGTTTGCTGAAGAACTAAAACAAATTGTCCAAAGACAACCTCCCAGAAGTCTGCCCAATTCTGGCCCATGAATGTAGCTTACTTGTGCATCTCCCAGACTCACCTTGGAGTAGGCTCTGTGGGAGACACTGCTCGGTGCATCGTCATGGGCCGTGTGAAATATACCAGGTACCCTGTCAAAGGAGACATCACACGTGCACGTCAAAATCAGTGAGCTGGAGGTGGGAAATCCTAAGACAGCACTGGTCAATTTTATCTCAATATACCTGAAGGATAAGACATAGTATTGTAAGTTGCATATACACTCACAACTGTGGCCAGACTTAACAAAGTCAAAGGTCCGAATCTCCAGGATCCAGGAGAGATGGGATGTATATGGTTTGGAAAAAGTCTTCAGAGGCATTTCATATTTCCTATGTATATTCGCAATAGTCTGAGTCAAGACTCAAATTCACAACCATCAGAATGAAAAAAATAAGACTGTAATTCTGGTGAACATTCTTAGGATGTGTCCACAGATGCCAATTTGGCATCAGACCATATAACACTATGACAGAACTCTTTTGAGTTCTTGGGAAATAAAAACAAAGATAATTTTTCTGATTGAAACTTTTACATAGACATTCTTAGCTGCTCTCTCTCAAAATCTAGAATCAGAGAACCAAAAAGAGACCAACCTGCCCCACAGAACCTGGCCCCTGAAGTCCTGGGGAAGGGAATATTGGCATCCTGGTAGGACCCATAAGCAGTGGTCACCCGGGCAAACGTCGGTAGGGGTGGCGTGACAGAGTTTGGGAGCGCGAAGGGGTTGCTGGAAGCGCTGTCTTCTTGGTTCTGAAATTTTAAAATCAACAGACTCAAACCCACAATCTGTCTTAAAGCTGAATTACAAAATAGGATATGTTATTACCCGATCAGGGAGCCCAGGATTTTAGGGAGGAAGGAAGGAACCAGACCCCAAAGCGAGGTTGGTAAAAAGGATCCCACCACAAAAGACTCAAGGCAGGACACGAGCTGGCGAAGGCAGGGCTCCAAACAGCTCTGGTTGCGTTTCACTTTTTGCAGGGAAGTGTCTTTCAGGATCTAGAAAAGGCACAAGAGACAGTCAAGAATAACAACATTAGAGAGGGGGAGGGTATAGCTCAGGGATAGAGTGCATGCTTAGCATGCATAAGGTCCTGGGTCCAGTACCGCCATCAATTAATTAATTAATTAACCTAATTACCTCCCACTCCACCCTCCCCCAAGAAGGTGGCACTCTTTCTCCTGATTTGCTTTTATTGTGCAAAGCACTGGATGCTGGGGGACTCGAGTGTGGTTGTGTCTAAGCCTTCCAACATAACAAACCACTTTCTATTTTGAGAGGCTCAGAGATGTGAGTCCTCTTCAAGAAGCCCTTTCCTTTGCCAGGACTGGCAGATACGCTGGCTTTGAGAAGGCACATTTCTAGTAGTAGAACGACTATTCTTCTTTTATAGTTAATTCTACTCCTTTGCTCTCCCCCGACCCCATCTGCCCTCCAGGAGAAATCTCAGTATGACTTAGGAGAAATAGCCTCCAGTCTGGACTGAAAACTGTTCCTAGAGATACGTACATGCCAGGGGGAGCAGATTTCACTTTAGTGAAAATTAAGATGGACCTTTTTTTGGTCCTTTAAAAATATAAAGCTTAACATTTTAAAGTACACGCTATAGATATAAACTGACATACACATACTGAAGACAGGCATGTAAAGTAGCCTGCAATGTCCAACATAAGAGTCATTCCCCACACGGGGCTACCAAGCACATGAAGTGTGGCTAGTCTGGATTGAAATGTGCTTTAAGTGTCAAATTCACACCGAAAATTGAAGACTTAGTACCAAAAAAAGCATGTAAACTTAAGCTATCTCAGTATAATTTTTATATTGGTTACAATGTCGATATAATACTTCGGATATATGGGATTAAAAAAATACTGAAATCAATTTACCTGCTTCTTTTAATTTTTTTAGTGTGGCTACTAGAAAATTTAGAATTATAAATTTCTGCATTATATTTCTATTGGACAGCACTGCATTAGACCTTTAAAGACACTTCTAATGCTATCATTTTTATACTAATAGAAAAATCTACTTTTCTGTATGCCCGAATGAGGCAATGAAATGTTCACACTCCAATGACAAAACATCAGGTATCACAAAATCTGAGTAATTAGCATTTCAGAGATCCTTACAAAACTTGAGAAATTTCTTGGTCACCTATCACACCCTACAGAGACAGAACTATCAAGTATAATATCAACTAGGCAAAAAATGAACAGCATTCTGGTCAACTTCGTTTCATCAGGACATTTCTATTTCATGTGTGACGCTGGCCAGACTGGAAAAGGTGTATCGTCCCAGCCCATGGGGCTTTTTTATGGAGATTCCATCTGATTCGCTCTGCATGAACTAACAAATCAAGCTGCTGAACATGTGGGGGCAAAGACAGGATGCCAGGCTGTTCAGCCTCCGTTCAGGCACCACTCTCCTACCACACACCTCACCTGTGCCTCACATTAAGGTGACAACATCTCCTTTCACAGAACGGGTTTTTTTAAACAAACTTACACACTTTTTTCCTGATTAGAAAGTATCTTTTAGCTTCAGAATACATTTTGCCTGGTTTCCAGATAAATGAAATTGTACTGTATTGACCTGGGATTAATGTACAGATTTAATGAGATCTGGGAGCCAACTATATGCAATTATAGAATTGCCTACTATTTATACGCAATATTTCTGAAATTATAAATTTAACCTTTGTGCAAGTTTTTCTGGGGAAGGGTTCATGATTTTCATTAGACATTCAAAGGGGGAGGGGGCCTATGACCCAAAGAGATTAAGAACCAGTGCTCAGTGTTTTCTGCAAAAAATGAATACAGTTGTTAACGCTGCCATGCTGAAGGACAGATGACTTCCAAATCTTATTGATCAATGTTTTCATCCAGCTTTACTACTCGGCTCAGACATGGATGCACACGAGCACTGCTCTCCTTTCACAACATCAAGGAGAATTTGTGAATACAGATGCCCACCTTGAGCAGCTTTGCTTTCATTGTGGACGTGATGGTGGTGGGGTTAATGAACTGGAAGGAGGGAGCTGCGTGGTTCGGGTACTGCGCAGGGAACTTCACTAGCATCTTGACGCGGTGGTTGCTGCAATGCACGGATACCGTGCAGCTCCTGTCTGCTGCGTCCATCTGCAGGGGACAAATCACCAGCTGCTTGGGAGAGGAACTGCAAAGGGTCTTGAGACGCAGATGGGTTTAAATAAGTTAACAGAATGCTCAAAGTTTCTGGTAAAGGAGTGAAGGGAGACAGTCTCCAAAAACAAATCAATTTGGAAGATCTGGACATCTCATTTTCAAAACGGACTTTGAATTTCAGCACCAATTGAATAAGTTCGAAGTGTTCTGACTTTAAAAAGCTTCATCCCAAAGCTGTGAAATGGGCTGAAACTTGCTGTATTTATTTTGAGACGGGAAAATAAAGCAGGAAGAAGTTAAATACCTGACTCAAGGTAAAAAGTACTTCTATGAAAATCCACACAGAGAGAATGTAGATGTGTGGTTGCCAGGGGCTGGGGAGAGAGGAAATGGCGAGTGGCTGCTGAGGGTGGAGGGTTTCTTTTGAGATGATGAAAATCTCTGGAAGGAGACAGTGGTGATGGCTGTATGGTTCCGTGAATATAATAAGAACCACAAACCTGTACATCTTAAAAGAGTGAATTTTATGGTATGTGAATTCAATCTCAGTAATTTTGATAAAGCAGTCCTGGGAAAAGAATTAAGATCTCCTTAGACTAGACCACTGGATATCCAAACTGATCTCGGTGGGGGCCAAAGGGAGTATAAACTGGGTTGAAACAGATAACTAATTAATCAAAGAAACCTCTATGTCTTTTGATTTCTTATGCTGCCAACTAGAGACAGCAGCTGGCATACAGCAAAAAGAGCCACACATGCGGGAAATCTGGAGACTTGGATTTAAAGAGCTGCTGACCTCAGACAAGTCATTTCATTGCTTAGTCTCTTTTTCCTCATCTGTAAAATGGGGATCAAACCACTCTCTGCAGAGTTGTTTTAATGGCCAAACGAGATAATTATGTGAGTGCACATGTTCAGGCATAATGCTTATTGAACCTGGGCAAAGAAAAACTAATCAAGTTTTACAATTCCTTCACAGACTCAATTCTCTGAAGCAAAGTGTTTTGATACCTGCCCAAAAGAAAAAGAGTAAACCTCCCCATGCATTAAATGAACAAGGAGACTTGGTCATCTTCTTACTGTGAATCTAAATCACCAAGGAAATGACCAGCTTATAAGGCAAAGTCGTTCAGGAAAATCACAGAGGAGCCTTAGAGAGTCAGGAGGTTAGCTTCCAAACTCAGCCCTGCCATTAACTTCACCAGTAACCTCTGTCAAGACGTCAAACCTTCCCAGATCTAAATATCTTCATATTTGGTAAAATGAGGTGTTAGAGTATTTAAGAAGGTTTTAAGACACGTGAGCATCAGTTTATACCTTGGTTCACCTTATCAGAAAATACTAGAGTAAGGGGGAAAAATCTGCATTTGTAAAACATCTATTTCTTTAGAAAACCTAGGGAATAAAAAAAGCAAGCACAGAGACTTCCCTGTCAGAGAAGCAAAGCTATCTGCTAGCCAGAACCACAACTGAAAGAGTCCCATTTCCCACAGACGGCCATCTGCAAGCAAGAGAGACAGCTCATTAAGCTTGGGTACCTCCACGTTGACATTGCGAATCTGCACGTTGATCAGGGAGAACTCTTGCTGCAGGGTCTGAGGTAGGCCCAGCTGATCTGACTTCTTCTCTTCCAGGAGATTGCTCAGGGGATCTTCCTTTAAGACTAGCAGGAGAGAGGTTCAAGTGTTGGAAAACACTTTTGAATTTGATTCAGAGGGCAGTTCTGGGGTATCGGCCACAACTCTGCGATGTGTAGAAGAGTAGCCACCTAAGACATCAGTTTCATCAATTACCTTCTTCCTCCCCATGGCTTGAGTTGTGTTGGTGATCTGTATCTTGAGTGTGAAGGGTCTTCTCTGGTTCCGGCAGGAGAGAAATGCTCTCAATGAACTCGTCAACACCATCTAATATGTCATTTGCACAAAGCTGCAACAAAGGGCAGGAGATTTAGGTCTAGAGAAGTCAGTGGATTGAATGTCGTGTCTGACTTAAAAATGGGAATTGCAAAGGAGAGAGCTGTCAGCCAAAAACTGATATAATCAAAATAGGCTTTGCCCATCACCAACTCTCTCCGTTTAAACAAACAGGGTAACAGACTCTATTATTTCACTCCAGAAAATTTTTTATCATGTTCATGGTTTATGCAAGTCTCAGAAAACATTTTAAACTCCAAGCTTTCATGGAGTTATTCAGCAAACCCAAGAGCTAATGTATCATAACTTCAAAGCATTTGGAACAAATGGTACTTTTTGGAGAACAGATTTAAAGGCAATAGGGTAATGATATTTGATGAAAATGCTCCTGAGTGACTTGGTACTAAGCAGTGTGGCAAATGTGCCCAGCATTTTCTATCCACTCTCTACAGAGTAGTGTGTGGGATGCAATACATGTGACAAACCATTCCTGCCTTCAAGGAATTTTCCCACTGGATGAAAGTCTGAGCCCTATGATGAGGCAGAGCCAAACAAGGGCCACAAAAGCAGTTTACACCAGGTACCACTCACTGTGCTTCAGATAAAATTTACGGGGCAAAAACTGGAAAGGGCTTCAAGTTACAGGTGTTGTTGATGGACGCAGAGGATGCTGAGTGCAAGGGGAGATTTCCTAGCCCACTTGGAAGAGAAAGAAATGAAGCCCCCAGGCCACTTGCTCAGTACTCTAACCCATACTCCCTTAGACCAGGACAAGAGGGAAGACATTCAGAGGCTTTGCAGTATTAAAGTGCAGAACACCAAAGTTGGTTCTTAAAGACCTCAAAGCCTCAGCATAGCATACACCAGCCATTGGGCCAACCAGCAAGTATGTGTAAATATCTGTCACATATCCTCTAACTTCTGCAACTATTAAATCTTATATTTTAAGTTTCTGGTGTATCCAGTTAAGTTCCTCCCCAACAGCTTTGAATACATACCCTCTGCATCTGGGAATCCACCCGCCACATTCTCAAGGTCTGATCCCGCGACCACGTAACCAGTTGGTAGTCCTTGGACCCTAGAAATCACCAGACAAGAATCCTGAAGATTTTTCCTGGATTCAGCATCATATTTGTTACAGGTCACAGTGGAACGAGGTTCATTCATTCATTAATTCATCCATTGAACAAATATTTATGATTTCCTATGTGCCAGGCACTGTTTTAGGCACTAGGACGATACCATGAATACAATCATCTCTGTCTTTACAGATCTCATAATCCAATGGTGGAAACAGACAAACATATAACATGTCTGGTAGTGACAGTGCTATTAAAAAATAACATGGGAGAGGAGGACAGAAATCAACAGCAGAGCTATTTCTAGACAGGATGTCCCTGAGGAAGTCACATTTGAGCAGAACCGTAAATGAAGTGAAATAATAGCTGGCAAATTAGCTGGTGAAGAGTGATGCTGGGATTTAATGTCATGCTGAACTTTAACTTCCACAAATGCTCTTCCTTTTGTATGCTCTGGAGGAGCTGGGCACGACAGTCTATAAAATGAATTGTCTTAAATGCATCATGGCATCTTACTGTTTTCAAAGAATTTTTTGATAAAGAGATGCATCTCTTTATAAAAGGAATAATCAATCTTAAATGTTCTTCATTGACTGAATTATATTTTCACATGATAGGTCTGGTCAAAGAGAGATTATTCTAAAAAGGTTGAAGGTGTTTTACAAAAAAGAGCTTTATGAAAGATTAGGACACTTCAGGGTAATTCTGTAGGATACAGAATCTTCTTTATGGCCATCTCAGAAGCAAAGAGTCTAGAAATAATTTCATCCAATTCCCTCATTTTACAGATGGGGAAACTGAGGCAACAGAGAGCAGAGAGAGTGGGGGGCAAAAGTTCCTTTTCTGGGTCACTGCCTTCACTCCTCGATGTTGTACTAAATCTCCAGCAGACCTAACAAGACAACAACTGTTCTGAACTACTACCTGTCCCGAGTGCCACCATCTACCCAGCCCAGGTTCACAGCAACAATTTCCTGACTCTTTGCATGTCCCTGACTTTGAAGAAGTTATGCCTAATTTCTTTCTAAACCCAACTCCTCCACTTGTGCCCATTCCCTCTCATCTGCGAAGGGCCCTTGCTTTGCTACACGCTCCCTTTCCTGTGCCTTCTCCCCGCCTTCAAACAGAGAGGACAGCAGCCTGTGCCACTCAACTTAGTCTATGCCTTGCCTTCAAAGGTGATTTCATTCACAAAACTGGATCCTGCTGCTTCTGTTTATGCCGCCTTACAAGCAAGCTTCCATCTTCAGTCTGCTTTTGGAATTCCTCTCTTAATGATCACACGATTCCCTATTTATACAATTAAGTGCTTCTCTCTCACTCTGCATGGAGATCCTTCAGCAAACCCTGAAACCAGTGACCTCCGCTTCCTTTACGATGCATCCTTTTCCGTGAACCGCAACATCCTGATTCTCTTCCTACCTCTGAGAGCTCCTTCACCACAGTGAAAATGAACATCAAAGCTTGAAGAGGTCCAATAAAAACTGACAGAAGACATGGCAGTAAAAATAAAATGGAGCACCGTTAGGTTGACAAAGAAAGAATATACAAGAATATGTACAGGATGATTACATTTATAAAAGGTTCAAAAACAAACAAACCTAAACTATTTTTAGGGATGCATAAATGGGTGATAAAACTACAAAAATAAAAACGGAAATCACTATCCTAAGTGTTAGGATAGACTTTACCTCTGGTAAAGGGAAAAGACTGTGGTCGGGTAGCTTCTGGGTTCTAGTAATATTCTTTCTTGAACTTGGTGGTAATTACACAGATTTTCACTTTATAAACTGTACGATTTATGCAATTTTCTACATGATATATTTCATAGGAGAAAGGAATTTAAAAAAAAAACTCACCTATAACTTGTACTCAAAATTTCACTACTGGTTAGACCACCCCAGTTTACACAATTCACCTGGCCAACTTACAGATGACACAGACAACTGAAAATGGGTTGCTAAAACCTCTTTATTTCAATCTGAAACGACCGGCCAACCTCTCCCTGCCAGACCGTGGGGAAATTTTATCATCTATTTTCTACAGCAAAATGCAAGAGAATGAGTTGAAAGTTAAAGTCAAGTATGGAAATTGATGGGGGTAAAGACCAAACAGCCTCATGTTTCTAGAAGCAAGAGGGATTATGGAAATGAGGACTGGAAAAATAAGAGGATGATCAAGAGTCCTTTCAAAACCAATCCTGGAAGAGGCCCATGAGGGTCACAGACAAGCTGGTACAGAAAGATAACTGCACTAATCCCAGGTCTACCAGAGACCTCTCCCGGACTCTGCACAGGTCACACCACTCCCTGCCTGGCTTTTCTGCTATGATATGGAAAGACCACGAAATATATTTCTGGTCTGGAAAACATTTAGAGAGCATGACAATAAGATCTCAAAACAAGGGAGGCTGCAAGTAAATGTGCGTGGTGAGTTGGTGGAGATACAGAGGCTGAGGGCTTCCTGACTCCCAATATACGTATGATGCCTTAGTGAGGACTGGCTAGGTTAAGCTGCAATAACAAATAGCCCCAAAGCTCAGGGGCTTAAAGCAAGGATTTCCCACCCTCTCCACACCTCCACCTCACCCTCATCCCTGGCAGGAGCAGCACCACGTGGAGCTTTGCCAGTTGCCTGGGCAGAAGCAGAGAGAGCAAGTAACTGCTGTTACCGCTCCTATCCAGAAGAGACTGCACCGCTTCCATTCATGTTTCCAGAAACAAAGTGAGTCACATGGCCCAGTCTATCTTTAAGGCAATGGGAGGTAAAATAGTACTACATGTTTGTGAAGAGAAGAGGGAATGTGTGGTAGGTGGTACTGATGATGACCTCTGACCTCCCTCATCAACAGAGCGGCTAGGGGCACACGCCAGGGATTTCTGGCCGTGGCAACCCCAGAGTTTCTCAGCTCTAGAAGTGATCCAACAGTAAGTCTGCCAACTTCTTCCATGCAGGAGAAAGGCTACATGGAACACCACAGAAGAGGAGGGAACTTCGGAGGATAATGAAAGCCACACATCCTTTCACCCACCGACCATTCAAGCCAGCCCTGTTTCTGAGTCCGCCCTCTGGGTCACACACCAACCCTGACAGGAGCTGCTGCTGAATTGGGCTCAGGAAGAAATTGGTGGGTAGTCTCTCTCCCACTCACCTTCCTTCTGCTTCCTCCACTGGAACTCCAGTACCACGTCATCGTGGCCCACAAAGGTATGGACTGGGGTGTTTAAGTCAAAGACATTCCACAAGAGAAGGCTGTTCTCCCTCCGCAGCTGGGGCACCATCACTGTCACCAATCCATTGCTGAAAGGCTATGACCAGAAAGGGAAAAGCAGGAGTTATTCCAGGGAGAGGCAGCTGAGTCCCGAGTTACCCAAGCTGTAATTCTCTCCTCACTAAAATAAATTAAATGACGGAATACCCCAACCCATCCATCTGGGGGACATTTTCCCAAATACTGGAAGTTGACCATCACATCTACTTTTTGTTGGCTTTTCTTTTACTTTTTCTTTGCTGACGTAAGGGATCACAAAAAATAAAGCTAAGCCAAATACCCGGAGAAGAATGTTTTAAAATCTAAAACAAGCCACCTCTCCCTCCTGGCAGCACTCCTGAACTTCTGTTTATTTTTTAAAGTAAACACATTAATCCAGAGAAGTATTTCAGTTCATAAGAACAATGTCTGGCTTCTTTACAAGCGGTCCCAGATGCAAAGACCAGTTAATACCTGAATTATCTTCTATGTTACACAATGTTCCAGGGTGGCAGCCTCATGTATAAAGGTAGCTTTACTAATCCCTGTGATCCCTTTCAGGCTGATACTGAAGGAAATATATCCTGATCAGCAGCTATCAATGTGGCAATAAAAAGGTCTTGAAAGGTTGATAATAGCTTACTCACTGTATTTGTAGCATTTTAATGGTTTACACAGTACTTTCATATACATTTTTTTCCCCAAAGGAAAAGGGAAAGTACAGGTACTAAATGCCACTGAATTGTACATTTTAAAATGTTGCATTTTATCACAATTTAAAAAAAAAGGGCAAGGCATAGTAAAAATAATTATTCATATTTGACCCAGGAGGAAATTGTCACTTAAAAACATCAAGTGTTTTGCCCAAGGCCATACAAATATTGAATGGCTCATTGCAGCATCATTCACAACAGCCATGATACAGAAACAACCCACATATCTGTCAGTGGATGAATGGACAAGAAGATGTAGTACATACACAACAGAATATTATTCAGCCATGAGAAAGAAGGAAATTCTGCCACTTATTACAACATGGATGGACCTTGTGGGCATCATGCTAAGTGAAATAAGTCAGACAAAGGCAAATATTGTATATCATTTATATGTGGAATCTAAAAAGCTCAACTCAGAGAGAGAGTAGAACGGTGGGGCTGAGGAGTGGGAGAAACGGGGAGATGTTGGTCAAAGGGTACAAATTTCTAGTTGTAAGATGAATAACCTCTGGGGATCTGATCTGCAGCCTGGCGATGATGGTTAAGAGTACTGAATGATATACCTGAAAGATGCAAGATGGTAGATTCTAAATGTTCTCATCGCAGAAAAGAAATGGTAATCTTGTGACATGATGGAAGTGTTAGCAAGTGTTACAGTGGTAACTGTCTGGCGACATATCATTGTAACATGTCAACATGTTGTAGACCTTGAACTTACACCATGTTAGATGTCAATTACATCTCAATAAAGCTGGGGAAGAAATGAAATGGCATTGCTGGGCCTAAAACCCAGGTCTTCTGAATCTAAAGCCAGAGTCCTTTCCAGCACAATCCATTGACCTCCAGCCTCTCAACCCTTCCTCCCTCTCCTCCCCTGCTGTCAGTGACCACCAAAAGTCACACTGCTGAGCTCCCTGCCCAGCCAGTCTAGCATTTCTAAATTTTTGTTTATTTTGGGGGGGGGGGAATATTTATTTATTATCTTTTTCTTTTTAATTTAAGCAAGGTATTTGGGATCGAACCCATGACCTCGTGAATGCTAAATATGCACTCTATCACTTGAGCTACAACCCAGTGTAGCATTTATAGTACAGATTCTGATACAACCTTCCAAGGGCAAATTTTTAAACAGATAACAGCTTTTACACCATCATTATCACCTGTGCCCCATCCCCCTAAACTAACAAAGAAAGAGAAAACTGCCTCACAAAGAAAATCAGAGAAAATGCTTCTGGCCCCTCGTTTAGGACACCAAGATAAGGTTTCCGAGCAAGAGGCAGGGTGTCTCACTCACAGTGTATCTGGCTTTCCAGACAGGCACCTGGCAAGGGAGAATATTGAGGTATTTCCGAGGCTGGCGGTAATCCCAGAACTGGAAGAAAGAAAGCAGGAAAATTTGTGAAATAAATGCCATAAAAAAAAAAAAAACTCACCCACTGAAATAAGCATAGCCTTCAAACTCCTTGCTTTCCGTCCTCTAAAGACACATTCAACAGCGCATTGCAGTCAGGCCCTGTGGCCACGCTCCTGTGACACAGAAACAGAGAAAACATCCCTGTCCCACTTATAAACTAAACACTACCAGAGAAAAACAGACTTCATGAGAACCTGCCCTCAGGGCAGATCACGGTCAGCCTGACTATTAAACCACCTTCACAGCTGAAAGGTGAAATGACAAGTTTTCATTCTGTGTCACTTTCCACCACGTAGAGTGGAATAACTAATAACAATAGCTAAAAAGTACTGACACTGACTGCATTTCAGACAGATGTTTAGTGTTCAGAGCTTCATACCGGTTAATGCTTACAACCACTACATAAGGCTGCTAGGAATCTCTTTTTCAAATGTAGAAGCCACGTTACTAAACGATATAACTTGCCCAAGATTGTGCAGCAAAAAGGTGGTTGTGTGACTACTCAGGGCCCAACCACTCACGTCCACATTTTTTCACCCCCTCGACAAGGAAGGTGGGGAACCTGGAGTAGCAGAGAAGACACAGGAGAGCCAGACAAAACCTGGGCCTTGGAGACGCCTGTGCTTTTAACAAAAAGACAAGTACACTCAGAGCTCAAGCATGAAACCGCAGGAAACCTTGAAAGCAGGAAACTGCAGACCCCAAAGGCAGGAGGGCCAAGAATGAAACTCTGAACAATCAGGTATTAAGGAATTATTATCAAAAATAGGTGACAGGACCCACTTCAGAAAAGAGTTTGGCAGTTTCTGAAAAAGTGAAATGCACACGTATCATGCGACCCAGTGAACCCCCTCTCACATATTTGTCCTAGAAAACTGAAAAGTTCCCCCAACAGAAAAAAAAAATCAATACAGAAATGTTTATAGAAGCTCTATTCGCGATCACCAAAAACTGGAAACAGCGGAAATCTCCTTCTGGAGGTCAACAGATAATGAACTGTAGCATATCCATAGAGTGGATTTCTATTCAGCAGTAAAAAAGTATATGAACTATTGTATTCTTAAAACAACCTGGGGGAATCTTAAAGGTATTAAGCTGAGCTGAGTGAAAGAAGCCAACCTTGAAAAGTTACATTCTGCACGATTCCATTTCAATGACACTCTCATAAAGACAAAATTATAGTGGAGAACGGATCAGTGTTGGCCAGGAGTCAGGGGCTGGGAGGGTGTGACTACAAAGAGTACCAGGCAATTCTTGTTTCTTCTGACAACTTTTTTTGCCAAATTCAAGTCCCGTATTCAAAATAATAAAGTTGTTCAGATGTCATTTCTATCTACACTGCTTTTGGGTTTCCCACATCACCACGGTGTAAACTATAACTTGCTCCCTCAACTTATTAAGAAAAGGGAAACTAGAAACAGTTAGGTATGCTTGGCATTCTCCATATTTCTAATCAGCTCAATACTCTGTGTATGTCTCCTTGTTATCAGGTCCACCATATGTGAAAAACTAGCAAATAAAAGAGAGTTTCCACCTCCCTTCAGAGTAAAATATTATTACTCAGCAATTATTTACAGGTTGGACAAAAGCATATTCCTGCTCATTTAGAAAGACTAGCATGATAACTATTAATAAAATTAATTCTTAAAAAAAAGATTTTGTTTCTAGATTTAAATATGCTCATCAGTTGGTGACAATTATAATATCTAATTTATGGGATAAATTAGAGGACCCTGGGAAAAGTCCTCACTGTTCGTAACACATTCTTATTCTGAAGGCAATCAATGATGGAGTCCTAGGAAAAGATTACATATTATATATTAATGGAGGACTTCAATTCTGTTTCAATTTGATCAAGCTGGTTATTGTAATAAGCTAACCACAGCCATGCCACCTCCTATCACAGGTGACCTGTGCTTTCCTCTTACCACTGCCAAAGGCCTCTGCTCCTAGCTAGGGATCAGAAAAAAGTTTTCTGAAGAAATATTCAGAAGAGCCTCGATGAAGAATCAGATTCCTGACTGCTGACATCACAGGGAAGACTTGCGGGCACAGGTTTCTCAGTATGGTTGACCTTGTACCAGGGAAATGTCAGAACGTACCCAGGGACCAGGGCTGGGTTTCTAGAACTCAGTCTAGAAGATGGGAATTTTGCAAAATAGACTGTTTAACCCAAGATCAGGAAGAAAACAATGGATTATCCAAAATGACATGAACTAATTTCATTGTGGTTCATGTTCTATTTTTTTAATTAATTTTTTATTTATTTATTTTTGGGGGGAGTCATTAGGTCTATTTATTTATTTATAATTAGTGTTTGTTTTTTTTTAATGGAGATACTGGGGATTGAACGCATGACCTCATGCATGCTAAGCATGTGCTCTACCACTGAGCTATACCCTACCCACCTCATGTTCTATTCTTAATGGCCATCGAAGAAAAATCCTTTTCTTCTTCCTGATCCAGTTCTAACCTTCAATTCAACAGTTTTAAGGGAAAAATTTGGGAGTTTGAGATTTACAAATGTTAGCCACTATATATAAAAATAGATTTTTAAAAAAGTTTCTGCTGTATAGCACAGGGAACTATGTTCAATATCTTGTAATAAACTTTGATGAAAAAGAATATGAAAATGAAGAAAAAGTTTTACAGTTTACAATCTACAAAATGAAGTGAAACTCATTCAATGGGATCTCGCTTGCTTCAGCTGACCCCTTAGAATTCACAAAATAAAAATAGAATAAAAATCATTACTATAAATTACAAGCTAATAAATGCTCAGGTAAAGTTAAGAGAATGATTATGTAGGAAAAAACAGCATGCACTGGCCCTTATCAACAAATTACAAATTACTAAAAACAAAGAATAACTGTTATGCAAAGTGCCCCTAAATTGCTTCACTTTTTACAATTACGTTATTTATAAATGTTCAATAAAAACTATCTTCCTTCCTATCAGGATATAGTAGAATAAATCAAGTACCACATCAACATCTCATTTAATTCATAAGCTAAGCCCACCAGTAAGGAACAAGGGCTGCATTTCACATGTGGAAACTGCCCAGTTACCCCCTTTATTATCCATGGAATCCCAGCCTCAAGGGTAGTAAAGGTATCATTGAATACTGACAAACTTGGGGACCTCCAAGAAAGAGGAGGAGGTGAATCGGATGGTTTCTGGTTCCCGAACTTAGGAAACAAGCTGATCTGGGTATAGGAACAAAAATTTAAATTCAAAGCAAACAAACCAAAGAAAACCCACTTTGGGCACATAAAAGTAAATTACAACCCCAAGGGAATTACAAACCTCAAGACAGAAGTTAACTTTTTAAGTCTCAGGGTATGATTCTAGCTTTGCTAACCATACCAAAAAAGACATACACGCCTGTGTAAATAAAACAAAGCCTAAAACTGCTGAAGCTGAATCACAAAATCGCTAAGCAAACTTCTGTGGTCTAATCTCAGTCCTTCTGGGCAGAGATCTGACCACAAGGGGGAACTGTGGGGCACAGCTAACTCTGCCCTGCGTCCTTTTGAACAAGGGTACATATCACATCCCACAGTCAGAGAGGAAAAACGAACAAGAAACACTGCACTCTGAGATAAACCAAAAATAATAGGGTCACTGACACACATAAATCCTTGAGCCTTTCCTGTGAGTTAAAGAATCTCTAATAAAACAACTCCATCCCTGACTTGTGCAATGCTAATGACTGAAGACGTCATGACTTTTGCAGATTTGATAATCATGTGAGAAAATGGCTGTTTTTCCACCCCAGACTAATGGTCAACTTGGTAACCTTAACAATTGTGTGGGTTTTTCTCCTTTCCTTGTGTATCTGTTGTGTTGTTATTTTGATGAGCCAGTCCTTTTGAAATGTGATTTCCTGGCAACTTCTTAGCAAGTAAATTTTTTCTCTTTTCTAAATGCTTTTGTCTCTGACTTCTTTTCACAATGAGAAAGAAGAAATTCTCTGAACAAATTCCAGGAGCCGCATCAGATATGAGGTACTATGTCACTCCGGCTGGTGTACATAACAGGTTTACTTGGCCAGCTCTCCAAGAAGCACATGCACTCCTGAAACACATGCTATGCCAACCTACTGCAGCTTTCCTTCTGGAGAAAGTGCTCAGACATCCCTGATGCCTCCCAAACACACACCTCCAATTGCCCCAGGGGCGCCGCTCACCTTGACAGAGTTGTCTTGACTGGAGGTAGCAAGGATGTGCTCGCTGTCTGGGTGCCAGTCCAGGCCATGGATTTTGGAGAGGTGGGCTGCTAGATATTCCACTGCTGTACTGGGTTTCTGCAACAGAATCAGCACTGAGTGTTGTCAACTGAGAAAGAACTCGCTAGAACAGTCTACTAGAACAGTCTGCTGGGTGCTGAGAGGGGACGCAAAAATGCCACCAGAGACCATCTCTATTATTAAGAAACTCCACATTGTTTTGTTTAAAACAAACAAAACGATGACGACAGGAGACTGATCCAGGTCTTCACACCTGCTCTGTATACGGGACTGTGAGCCTAATTTTCTTCAGCTCCAAACCCCTGCGTGGCTTTAATGAAGCAAAGTAGTGTGCTTTTCCCCTTCAGTAGCATGGGCTGCAGTTTCTGCTCCCCTTCCTCACAATCACCCACAGAGGGGCTGTGACATCCCAACAGACCCAACCCCAATCCTGAGGGTAAAACCACCAATCTTAAAGTGATCGAGCCCTAAGACCCCAAAAGAGAATGAACACACATCACAAACGCAAACAATACATGATTAATAAGCATATATGAAACAAAGTCAAAAGGAAACCTCAGAAATATATTAAAACATTAAAAGATTCTTAAGTGATCAAATTAGAAGATATTTGTAAATAATATTCAATGCTGTGAGGCTGCATTTGTCCCTGCTGGTGTACACAGAAAATAGTATAACCTTTGGGGGGAAAAATTTTGACAATTTTTGTCAAGAGATTTGAAATTTTCCTTTCTTAAGGGAATATCCTAAATTCACAAAAAGCTTTAGGTATGAAAGATGATTATCTTGGTGTTATTTGGAACCCTAGAAAACTAGAAACAACATAAATAATAAGTGGGGAATAATTAATGTTAGAACCAATTATTGTACAGCTATCTGATACAATATGATGTAGCCACTAAAAGTTATACTTAGGAAGAGTTTATAACATGAAGGAAATGCATTTGTTGTAATGTTGAATGAAAAAAGTATGCATAACTATGCATATGATAAACTATGATTAAAAAAGGACAAGAAAACACTTAAATGTTAACACTCATCTCTGAGTAACAGGACCATGAATGATTTTTATTTTCTCTTCTATATTTTCTACAAAGAGCATGTATTAGTTTCTATAATCAGCATTGGTCTATGAGGTTAAGGGTGCCATCTCCAGAACCCACCTCCCTGAGTTTAAATCCTGACAATAAACTACACCTCAGTTTACTCAGCTGCAGAATGGGGGTAATAATAGTACCTACTTTAAAGGCTAGTTATAGAGAGAACTGAATCAATACACATAAAGTTCTTAGAACAATGCCTGTACATAATACTTTGTAAGGTTAGTACTATTAGTCATCCACCAGTTTCAGTGAAAATTCAGCATTACCACTGATATTGTACATTTTTAAGCCTGCGATGCTTGCTTTCAACAGTGCTGCTTTGACACTATAAAGTGTCAGGGAAGTAAAGCTATGACCAACAAGTTTTACAATCCATTTGAGCAGAATTCCTAAGTATTAATAGCCACCCACCCACCACACCCCCCCAAAAAGTTAAAGCCCATTAAATAAAATAGATAAAAGGCTTGCTGAGGGAAGTCAGGGTTACTAGTGGACCAATCAGAAGAATAGAAAGGAACAGTTCTGTAGTATATTTCTATAAGATAAGGAACAGAGCTACTGTTTTGGAAAACACGTACTAACAGAGAGTTCATGGCTAAATACCAAGTTGTTAATTTTGCCTATGGCTTTGAAAACAATCTGAAGCAAATATGCATGTACTACAAATTAACCAAATATTTTATTTATACCATTTACTATCTTTAAATGCTATGCCAGTGACAAAATGAATATAACCAACTGCCAATTTAAGAAATAAAAGGGGACTAAGAATGGCTATTACCAGACTAAAGGGACAGAGAGAAAACTAACATACAGAAGATGCACCTATCCAACCTCTACTTATAAAATCACCTGTCATGTACACGCTACCTCAGGCAGAGGGCTTGGGCTGGCACACCCCTTTCCCAGCAGGTCCAGGCACCCAATCTAGCAGCCTCCCAATCTCTACATCACTTCCTTCTCCTCTCCAGCTATATGACCTTATTCCTTGCTAGGAGGGGAAGGGCACCGGAAGTGATGCTGAGACTTTACGGTCAGCATCCGAGTTAGGACAGCCCCGGACAAGTTTCAGGAAAACTACCAGTACATCCTCCCCAGAGGCAGGATCTCTAGCCTCAGGTTTCACAGGACAGAAAGCAGAATTTACGCCCCAGATCTTACAGAAGTTGACGGCTCTGTGAATTAAGCATTCTTAGCCTATCATCTGGGAGTTAGATATGGGGGAGGCCCTTTTCCTGCATCATTATTCTCACCAATGCCAACACACCAAAATTCCGACAGACTTTCCATCACAGCAGCAGCCCAGGACCCTGCACCTTCTTCATGCCTGTCAGTTAAGTGGGCTGCTGCAGGGAGAATATATGATCTGCAGGCTCTTTTGAGGCTGAAGGCACAGCAGGAGTTCAAGGGAGGATTTAAGCATGCTGCGTATCCCGTCTCAGTGATTTAATTCTGCATGGTATATGTCCTGGAACAAGGAGGTTTCACTTTGCAATCTGAGGCAGTGGTAAGAAGCTTGCCAAACACTCTAGAATAGTGCCTCGTCCTACCAGCTTGACCTCCTCAGTGATATACTCATTATTATTACCTTTATTCTGAAGATAAGGAAACTGAGGCTTGGAAAAGTATGTGGCTCACCTGATATTATAACCAGGAGGCAGCAAAACAGGACTCTAACTTAGGTCAGGCCAAGTTCATTTTCTTAACCACTGATCATAATACCTCACTCCGCTAACTTCCTCCAACACCAATTTGATCAGGAAGCAAGTATCATCTGGTACTAGGATCTTAACAGGGCAATGAATCAATCATGCTGTCCAGGGAAACCGGGATGCTCAAGATAGGTCCTGCCACTCATAACATTCTCTTCACAGCCCCTGGGAAGAGAAAAGAGTTTACTTACCCGCTTGTCCCAAATCCGTACATCCCCATCATGGCTGGTGGCAAGGCAATTAGCATTTTTTTTATTCCATTTGACCTGTGAGGCACCCGCTGCAAAGAAAAATTGAGGGAAGAAAGCTGTTGCCCTCCACGCCTTTGAAACCAGAGTAGAGCTTATCCAGGGGAGCTGGATAATGAGTTCCGGATGAATAAGAGCAGAACTCTTCAAGTTTCTATGACTGCATCAGCTCCACCATTAAAGAGAAAATGAAGCCAAGAAATAAATGAATTAACACAAGGGAACAGGATCAGAGTCACCTAATTGAGGAACTAATCTCACTAAGGGAAAAAAATCTTCAGGTTCCCTCCGAGCAGAATCAGCAGGGCAATGTGCGTTCTTACAGAGCAGCCATTCAGCAGGGCTCTGCTGGTTGGTAACTGACTCATCACACAGCCTGGCTCTTCATCATCTCCATCACCAAGCTTGTGCTCCCCATCAGAGGAGCCTCAGCCCCAAGCCTGCCCCTTCCCACTTTGGCTTTGTTGGTTTGCTTGCTGTTGTTGCTTTTTGAGGGACAGTCTTGGAAAAATATAGTCTCCAGCTGAAGCTCAGTTGAAGCATAAGCCCCAGTGTTGCCCAATTCTGCCCTCAGAAAGTTACATGCACCCCCTGCATCACCCACTTTCGACTCCCCATCAGCAGTTAGACACGGCCACTAGCCCTGTGTGGAGGCGGGGAAAGGGAACACTCCCGGCACCATGTGAACTCAGTCCTCTACCAATGCAGGAGGTAACTACAATGACAAACGAGCTACCTAAGAGAGGAGGTGTACTGTAAGATGCCAGAAGGGGCTGAGACAGGTGGAAAATTGGGACATATCAGCACTTCTAGCTGACTCTTAAAAATAATCAAGTTAATTAAGTTAAAACCAGAGCACTATGGCTTTCCTTCCCTCCTCTTCCTGTCTTGCTCAGACAACACATGACAATTATGCTTGGAGACCTCTCTCTTTAGGTGGGTGTGTATTACTGGGGACACCATAGTAGATCTAGGGCTTTGGAGAATAACTTGATCCAAGAAGTCTAGAGAGTGTGAGAGCTAAAGCAAGGACTTAGAATCTAACAGGAAACAGAGTTAAGGCTCACATTTTATCCTTGCTTAAGTTTTGGTGAGAGTATTTGTTTGCTTACTTGTTAGTTGTGTTTTTTCCTTGAGACACAGGGCATCTTAAGTCATCTAAGAACAGATGGTGGAGACCCCTGAAGTTGGAGGAAGGCGCTGTATTACTTAGGAGGCCCCTGTTAACAGCCCCAATGTAGAACTGCAATAATAGTTAATTCCAATTGAGGGATGAAAACAGGAAGATCAGAAAGGAATTTCAAAGTTTCAATATGTCCATATTAAATGACACCCTGGGACACAATCAGCATAATATAGATTGTGCGGAAACCACAGGACAAGCAACCTGGTTTCTTCAACAAATAAACTGCAGGAAAAGAAAAACAAACCAACCAAACAAAGGGAGGGAGAAGAAAGCTACTGACTAAAAGAGATGAGAAATATATTAACCACTTAGAAATACAGACTTTGGATTCTGCTTCAAATAACTTGTTAAAAACAAACAAACAACTACTACTGAGACTACTGGGGAAATTTGAATACTGCTTAAATACTTGATGATATCAAAGAACTACTGTTAATACTTTCAGGTATGCTAATGATTTTTTTTTAAAGAATTCTTCTCTTGTAAAAAATACTTGCTGAAATACTTCTTGATGAAATGGCAAGATACCTGGGATTTACTTCAAAATAATCCCAAAGGGGGGGATAGCGGGTGAAAGAAGGCTGGCTGTACGCTGACAACTGTTTAAGCTGGAGGATGAACTCAAGTCAGTACATCTTCTAGCCTTACCAACTTTTGAAATTTTCCACAATAAAAAGTTTAAAAAGAAACCAGTGTGGCTCCTACCCTTGAATTCTGAAATAAGTCCCTGACCACATGCTACAGTCCAGACTCTAACTTCTGAGAGCCGCAGAAGCAAGACCCTTGTGATGCAGGACTTACAGGTGCACACAGCCATGGACGGGGCCCTGGGCAGTCAGTGTCGTGGAAGCCATGGAAGGAATGGGACAAGGGCCGGGGTGGGGAGGAAGGGGGAGTAGACACTCACCTACAGCAGACAGTGCGACACTGGGCTTCCTTGTGTCCCTGAAACACAAAAGTCAGAAATCAAGTGCCCATTCACCTGCCACCACCCAACCTGGTGCTTTTCACCCTCTGCTCGCACATCCTCACTTTCCTTTCAGCCAGTTCTTAGACTTCAGTGGAATCATGAGGGCCTTAAAAAGAAGTATAAAGAGAAGCCCGTCTCCTTCCAGAGGGATGAACTTTCTCAGCCACTGCAATTGAGGCTGTCTGAATTTTAGATCATACCATCATATCCCCAGGGAACAAATAACCATGATTCAGCATGGGCTGGGTGACTATGACACGGAGGTGGAGGGAACCAAAAGAACCCCTCCCTGGTGTCATTTCTCCCAGTGGGACAAGGGGACAGTCATGGAGGCCTAATTCTGCAAGAACCTTCCACCAGCATCACAAAGGTGGAGTGACAAACCACTCTGGATGTTCCCAAGAGCCAAGAGGTGGAAGCAACCCAAGTGTCCACAACGGATGATCGGATAAACAGACTAGGGTTTAGACATGCAATGGATTATTATTAGGTCTTAAAAAGGAAGGAAATCCTGTCACATGCTAGCACGTAACCGCACCTTGAGGACATTATGCTAAGTGAAATAAGTCAGTCACAAAAGGACAAACACTGTACAATTCTACTTATACGTGGTACCTAGAGTAGTCAATTCATAAAGACAGAGAGCAGCACTGTGGCCGACAGGGGCTGAGAGGAGGGAGAAATGGGGACTTGTTTCACGGGTACAGATTTCCAGGTCTGAAAGGTTAAAAAGTCCTAGAGCTTGGCTGCACAACAATGTGAATATACTTACTACTGAGCTGCACATTTACAAATGATTAAGATGGTAAATTTTGTTTTGTGGTTTTTTACCACAATACTAAAATAAAAAAAAAAGACACTCCTTTGGAGAGGGAGGCTCCAAGGTTCACAACAAATGGTAAAATGACAGAAATGACAGTAAAATGACCTGAGGGTCAGGAGGGCTCTGTAGCTCTGGCCTATTGTTTAGAAAACCTGAGAAAGCAAGTTAGTTCAGAGTCTTGCACTCTTTAAATCAGGAAAACAACTGTATTGTGACAATGAGGGGTCCTTGCCCCCCCCGGGGGGGGGTTATAGTCCCTTTCATTTTCCTGGGATTTTGTGCTTTCTCTCTCCCTGGGGCTGCTTTTAGAGTCATCACCTCTGAAGTACTAACCCACGTGATGCAGGCGAGGTCAGCTGTGCACACCGTTAGTCCCTGAGAATCCCTTTCACTGGTCTGTCTCATCTGTCACACCTCAATACCCTTCTTGTCTTCTGTCTACAGTTTACCTTTCAATGTAAAATATCACAAAGTCACCACCATTTGGGAGCAGAGCGCCCTGGTCAGAGGAGAGGGTGTCCCATCCTGGGGACTCTACAGGCCACACCCTCCAGTGAGTCACTTCTAAAGGTTTTGGCGAAGGGAACTTTGCTCTACAAAGGGAGAAGGGAAGAGACGTTTACTACGAACTTAGGACATGCCAGGCCCTGGGCCAGGTGCTCCTCCACCCTTTGCTCCATGAAGAGTAACCCTAAGAGGTGGCTCTCAGCCCCCTTTATAAAGAGGGGAGGAGAAGCCTCACAAAGAGCGAAGCGGCTGTCTCAGAGCACTGCCTGCTGCAGCATGCGTGTTTGTGGCTATCAAACCCCGCTCCATACCACACAACTTCAGGAAAATTCAGCCTAACTTTAAAATGCCAGCACCTGTGTTTCTTTGCCAACGGGATTTCCCTGAAGCCTGATTTGCAAACCTTTGCAACAGGACTTAAGTCCCAGGGAATTGAGGCCCCTGGGGGCAGCCTTCAGCCAATCACTGACAGTGGATGGTACCCCTACTTCCTTAGCCCTGAGGGGTGGGACAGCTTGGAGGAGGGAGCTTTACACTAGCATCTAGTGCCCCCAGTAAGAGGAAGCTCCCCCCATTCACAGCGGTACACAGGTAGATGATGCATCCTCCAATCCTGTCTCCCTTCCCCATCCCCTGCCAGCAGTTCTGTCAACTCCCAAATAACATATCCACAAGGTCTCCTTGTCTCAGGGTCTGCATCCAGGGGAAACCAAATTAAGACATCTGATCTCTAAGGCAAAGGTCGCAGACTGTCCCACAGCCAAGTGGTTATGCCTGGCAATTGTTCTTACTTGATATCCCAAATATAGATGTAGGTGTCCACAGAGCTGGTGACCAGGAGATCTGGCTCAAATACTGCCCAGTCCAAGTCACTGGAAACAAGAAGTAAACAGGACAATCATGAAGAGAAAAAATTCAGAGTCCGGTTCCAAAGCATCAGCAGATTTTGTCTCTAGTGGCTTCAGAAAGTCATTGTTAATGGGCCCCTTAACACAGTTTAGGCTGGGAATTTCCAAAGTTCTTTGGGAAAGAAGACTTAACTGAGCGCTGAAGGAAACTTTCAGGTCCTTCCCCAGTCATCATCTGCTCCCCCTAAAATGGAGCATTTCAACTTAAAACACATACATACATAAATGCACGCATACATGTGCACATTGGCAAACTAGTACAAAACAAAGGAAAAAACACATAAAACACATGATTTATTGTTTTTTAAATCAGCCTCAACCACAGGTACCTGAAGTAAACCCAACATCTTTAAAGCAGGGGCAGACCGCATGTTGGATTCCAAGGAGGGGAAGCTGGCCCCTGGTCCTCCAGACCCACATCCTCACGCCTTAAAAGGTACTTACTACACAATTAAAACAGGCCATGGGTCTAGCCTTTCCCATTACCTCCAGCCAGCTTCACCATTCCTGCACTTCCTGCTGCTACTTCCATGTCAAGCTTTCCCCACCCAGAATGAGTGCTTCAAGGAAAGGGTGGATCAAGGAACACTCCAGAAGCCCACTGGAAGGCCACGAGTGAATAACAGACTGTAATGCACGAGTCCCACGCGGTGCCCCATGGCTGTTGGACAAAGACCAAAGGGCTGTGCCCTGAGGTCTCTGTACTATGAGGCTCTGCACACTGGGAGCTGGGGATTCTTTGAGCATAACTTCATTCTCTTCTGCAGCAAACTAGCTCTAATCACCTCCCCTGGACAGGGCTGTACCTGTCTCAGTGTCTCCTGGGATCAGGGTTAACAGCCACATGGATGCTGGTTCCTCGCGGTGAAGGCCATCACTTCAGGAATGTTAAGGATCCAGCAGCCACTCACGGCCAACTCAACACAGGGGGTCAAGCTTGGAGGAGGAAGCTGTCTCTGTTTTACTTCCCAAGGGACTGTGACGAAACGAGACAGGCCAGGGCGCCGTGGAGGACTGTGCCTACCTGATGACGCGAGTGTGGCCTTGTAAGGTTGTGCCAACTTCCCCACTGCCATCTTTCCACTTATAAAGGTCGACTCGTTGGTTGCTCTGAAAAGAAACAAGAAGAGAGAGGAGGGTAGAGCTCAGCAGTAGAGCACGTGCTTAGCCTGCATGAGGTTGTGGGTTCAATCCCCAGTATCTCTGTAAAAATAAACAAACAAACAAACAAACAAACCTAATTACCTGCCCCAAAATAAAAAAAAAAGAAAAAAGAAACGGGGGGAGAGTATCGCTCAGTGGTAGAGTGCACACTCGGTCTACACGAAGACTTGGATTCAATCTCCAGTACCTCCGTTAAAAAATTTTTTTAATTAAAAAATGAACCTAATTACCTACCCCCCCCACAAAAAAGAAAGAAAGAAAGAAGGGAAAACCCATCTTGAATAGTTACAGCTGAAATGAGGCTACAGATACACCCCTGAGCACTTGAGGTCCGGGATACAGAGCCTCACCCAGCCCCCCGGCACTGCCCAAGGAACCACCTCCCCACTCCCAAAGTCCCATACCCATCTCCCCAGCTGCCCTCACACTGGATGTTTTCGGCTCACCGTTCCCATTATCAAATGCCTGGAATCCATCAACCACATATGGTTTAAAAACACACATGCGTGAGAAAACAGAATCACCACTGAAAGGGTGATACAAGAGTCCTTGAAATACGAATTTCTTAAAGGGTTAAGCAGAAAGACACAGGGAAAATAGGCCAGAAGAAACTACAATTAGAATAGGAAAAAGGTTAAAAAAAAAAAGACTTTAATCAAACTACATTTCACTTAAAGAAACAACAAGCCAGCAAATGCTCCCTGAATATCATGAGTTCATGGAACACACTGGAAGTGAATAAAGATAATTAATAGACTAATTACTATTAGTTAATAATTTCTGAACTGATATATATATATATATATATGATTGATCTTCATTTTAGCTCAGAGACAGAGCTGTATAAAGTTCTAAGATTTTTATCCAGAAATGCCAGATGCCAGCTTCCATTTCTAAATAGGTAAGCTTCCTGCCAAAAGGTTATAATTCAAAACAGCTTCCAATAGGAATAGGAGTGAAAAGAAAAGCCCCTCATCTTACAATAACATTTCCTGACATTTCCAGGGTCTGCTAGTGCCACTCTGTGATCTAGGAACCTTAAGAAACCTGCCCTCTGCTCTTTTCCACCACACTGCACACTGGGTGTCATCACCCTTATCACAGATGAGGCTACCAAGGCTCCAAAAGTTGGGTGGGTGCTCAAGATAAAATAGGGAGTGTTAAAACAGACTTGACCTCAGATCTGCCTAATTCCAAAGCTCTTTTTCCTGAAAATGCTTGGCTTCCAACCAAGGACAATGAAAGAAAAAATATATATATCAGCAAATTGAACTTTATCAGAATTAAAACTTTACTATGTCAAAGGACATTATTAAGAAAGTGAAAAGACAATCTACAGAACTGAAGAAAACATTTGCAAATCATATCATTGATAAGGGTCTAGTATCAAGAATCCAGAAAGAACTCTTAAACTCAACAGCAAAAAGACAAACAACCTAATTCAAAAATGGACAAGGGACTTAAATAGACATTTCTCAAAAAAAAGATATACAAATGGCCAACAGGCACATGAAAAGATGTTCAGTATCATTAGTTATTAGGGAAATGCAAATCAAAATCACAGTGAGATATCACTTTACACCCAGTAAGATGGCTACAATTTTAAAATTACACGCATACACACACACAGACACACACAGAGAAAGCCAGGAAATAACAAATTTTAGTGAGGATGTCAGAAATTAGAAAACTTGTACACTGCTGGTGGGACTGCAAAATGGTCCAGTGATTGTAGAAAACAGTTTTATGCTTCCTCAAAAAGTTAAACACAGACTTACCACAAAGCCCTGCAATCACTCCTAGGTATATACCCAAAAGAACTGAAACCAAGTACTCAAAAAAGTCCATGTACACATAGGTTCATATTGGCACTATTCACAACAGCCAGCCCAAATGTCCACTGGTGGATGAAGACATAAACAAAATGCAGTGTATCCATACAATGGAATATTATTCAGCCACAGAAAGGAGTGAAGGTCTCACAGATGCTGTAACACGGATAAAGAAGCCAGAGACAAAATGTCCTGTGTTGTACTGACTACATTTATATGAAATATCCAGAACAGCTAAATCCAGTGACAGAACACAGACTAGAAGGTGGCCGGGGGCTATGGGTGGGGGGAACGAAAGGAAGCTGTTTAATGCCAGGGGGGTTTACTGCGGAATGACAGAAATGTTTGGGAACCAGATAGAGGTAGCAATTATGTAACACTGTGACTGTAGTAAACGACGCTGAATTGTCCTCTTTAAATGATTGCCTGAAAAAAATAAGGCTCTTTCTTGCTACTCTTAAACACATGCAGTCTTAATCCACGTGGGGTGACTACTGAGGGGGTCAACCTAAATCTGTGGTTCCCAATCAAGGGTGATTTTGCTTCCCAGGGGACACTTGACAATGTCTAGAGACAGTTTTGGTTATCACAACGAAGGTAGGGGATGCCATCAGGATCTAGTGGGTAGGGGCCCGGGATACTGCTCATTTCCTGTAAGGCACAGGACAGCCCCCGCCATGAAGAATTATCTGGCCTGACATGTCAATAGTGCCAAGGCTGAGAAACCCTTGACCAGCCTATCAAGGGAGCCCAAGCGCAAGAGGTATAAGCCAACAGAGAGAGTGTCCTTCCTAAGACACAGGGAGGAGGCTGAGAGTGGGAATCCAATGGAGCAACCCTCCCCTACCCTTTCAGAACATTCCCAGAACCAGATACCAACCCCGTCGTCCCAGGTTAAAGTCAGACAGTCAGATTCTATTTTGGAAACGAGGGGGAAGAGCAGATTTTTGTTCCTTCTAAAGCTGACAACATTGCTCTTCTTTCTTTTGTCAGATGCCTTCCTCTCACAGACTGTCATTCCTGATAAGAACAGACCCAGACACTGCCTTGAATGTTCGCATCCCCTGGAAGACGAGAAGGGCTCCTCTAAATAGTGCCTTCCGGCCCAGTGCCAAAAAAAAAAAAAAAAAAAAAAAAAAAGCCAATGGTTTAGATCTCTAATTGTTCTAGGAGAACAGAACGCTGATAGAGAACCTGGCGAGAAGTACCAGAGATGACCCAGACCGGATCTTTTTTGTCACGAATCCCTTGGAAAAATCTAATAAAACGTATGCATCTTTTCCCTGGAAAAATTCACAGATAAACACACACTTAAAATTTTGAGAATGAATCCCAGTCTAATAAATCTCAATCAAGAAAAAAATCCCTTCCTTTGAACGTCAGGGTGTATGGAATCTTCTGATCCCTCTGAGAGCAAGGAAGGTACCCCACCAGACCAGCTCACCAGTTCTTTCCTTAAAACATCTTTCAGAGGCCCTGGCTAGTTATATTCCTGCTAATGAAAACATGTTCTTCTCACACACAGAAATGGAGGCATCTACCTGCTTCTCTTTCAAAATCTGGATTCAATTCTTAGAAATACCGACAGTATATTCTTTGCACATATTTTAATCTCTAATTTGCCTCTATCTTCCTTTTAGAACCAGGGACACCTCTTTTCTGCCTGAGAAATGAGGGTTACATTCTCTTTTCCACAGAGAACACAGACCTACCAGCCCAGATCTCACATTTAAAGCCTTCTGCTGTACTCCTCGAATGAGCTCACCGAGGCTGCAAAATAGTGCGCAAAGCTGTCATGAGGATTCCACTGCACGGCTCCGATGTCCCACTTGCTCTGGCGCGAGATCTTTCGGTGTCCTTCGAAGGGGGCATCTAGATTGACGATGTATAGGAATCGGCGGCTAGGAAAACAGCATCAATGTTATAGCAATACAACAGCATTAGCATTCAAGGAGAAGAGCACATTTGGAATTACATACGGTTCGCAAGCAATGCTCCAAAAACCCCTAGATGTACATGACGTTTATCGACTCAGAAAGGCATACCCATGACGAGAGTAACTCAAGGTGGCTGGTGGGGAATCGGAGCCGCACCCCTGTGAGAGTCTGCCTCTGGACACGAGCTTCCCTCCCATATCCAGGGAAGTCCAACCTCCTCCCACCAGATTCAGCCCCAGCCCTGCCCCCTCCCAGGCTTTTCCAGTCCCCCAGCTGCTTTCACATTTAACCTGCCACACAGTCTGCATTTTGACTATGGTACATATCTTCACAGCAGAACTACCAATGTAAAGGCTCTTGTCCCAAACCAACTGAGTGTTCGGGGTATGTCCCTCATCGCTAGGCACAGGGCTCTGTATCCAACTCATGTGTGTAAAATTAAACCCATCACCTATCACTTAGCTAAATATTCTGAAGAAAATCTCAAATTCCCATGCAAGCTGACTACCTGGTGAAGGAAACCAAATTAAAACTGTCAGAAGGGGAAACAGTAACCAAAAAATAATAATCATTAAAAAATTAACTGCCAATAATATTCAAGGTGCCAATCAATATAAAGGATATGAAAACAGGGATGCCCTTTGTTCACCTCTTTTCCTTCTGTTTTAAGTGAAAAATGCTTGGAAGGTGAATCAATCTCTCAGCAGCCATCAGCTGTTGGGGAGCACTCCAAGTCCCTGAGTATCAACGAGGATGGGTGGGCTCACTAATGAAGAAAAAGATTAATTGCCCCTGCTCAGAAGAGACAGGAAGTGGAAAGTAAAAATAGCATGTAGAATTCTGGCAGAAACCCCAGGAGGGATGGATTAAGGGAAAAGGAAAGCACAGGTAAGACACAAATTCACATTACTTCTGGAACTTCCAAGAAAGCTGGTACAGAACAAAGATTGAAAACCTCTGACCTCTAAGGGATCACCTGATCCTGTGGCAGGCACACCGGCATCTTCTCTTCAGAACAAAAACAGGGAAAAGGCTAAGCAGTACATGTATGGGGTATGTATCAAAAGGGAGCTCAGAGACAGTACAGAGCAAACATGGAACAGCAGGTGGGCACTTCAGGATAAACATGCCTGATTGAACAAATATGTTTGTCTTCATTCCCCATTGAAGACCCACTAAAAAAAGAGTGAAAGCATAAAAGACTGAAGCCCACAAAAACAAAGAAAATGAGAAGGATGAATGGTAATTGATCTAGAGGAAGGACAGCCAGCACCCAAGTGCCTGCAGAGGGAGCTGATTCCCACTGCAGAATCCAGGGTGGCAGGAGTTGGAGGCTTCGGTCACAGGCAAGGGGAAGTGAGATGACTTCAGAGGACAAGAGGCACAGCAAAGGTGAGTGTGAGGTGCTGTGCTCCAAACACAGCAGGAAGTGGTGTGTGAGACCCTCAGGCCTCTTCCCCTGTTCAGCACTCACAACACAAGGCTTCCAGTCTTTAGACAGTGACTCGTGTCAGGAGGATTCTCCTAAGGAGGAACTGACTAGCCCAGGAAAGAATAAAAGCAAACAAACAAGTAACAACAACAAAGCACTGGAGATAATGACAGCTGGGCACACTCCAACAAAAGGGCCTGGTTCCCACCTAATCTCCCTACTGTGGACCTGACTATCACACATAAACAGATTCCAGTCTCTCTTTAATATTAACAGAGAGCCTGTGAGCTCAGTTACCAGAGGAAACCTGAAAGACAGAGACCAACATAACCAAAAGAAAGAAAAAGGGAATGGGAGCACAAAGGAAAGAAAACCTAGATTTATTATTCTCCAAGAATAAAAGAAGATAATGTAAAGAACAGAGAACAAGAAAGAGTTCTTGGAAATTAAAATAATAGTTGGAATTTTAAAATCTGATAGAAAGGTTGGAAGCTAAAAGTTGAAGAAAGCTCCCAGAATGCAAAACAAAAAGACAAAAAGACCAAAAGACCAGAAGAGAATCCATATAGGATACCCAACATGGACTAAGAGGAGTTCCAGAAAGAAAAAGAAGAAATAGAGGGAGGAGTTATAAAAGACGTAACACAGGAAAATTTCTCCAGACTAAAAGACACGGGTTTCCATACTGAAAGGGCCTTCCAAGGTGCTAAAAATTATTCTGTATCTTAATCTGAAGGGTTATCCCATGGGTGTACATATTTGTAAATTCATTTGAGCTGTTCACTTGAGCATAGACCTTACTACACATATTTTAAAGCTCAATATAAGAAAATGGAATGGTGAACTTCAAGATCATGTTGAAAAATAATATGAATGTATACATATCGGAGAACACACCAAATCAGGAAATACTGCATGATTCCCAGTTACAGAACCCCATTCTCTCCCAGAACACTACCAACGATATCACATTAGTGAATGCTGAGGTCTAACATTTGAGACACCGTCATTCCAGGGCACCTGAGAATGTTTTATGAGCTGTTAGTATGGCTACATGATGCCGAGTATATGTTATTTTTCTATTTGTTTAAATAAAACAGGCAATAATGTCAAAACGGGGAGGAGGGTCCCTCTAAGTGCCCACCCAGCACAATGAATGAAAAAAGACACACACCAAAGCAGTCATGGTGAAAATTTCACACACACTAGAGGTAAAGATAGCACTAGGTACAAAGATGGGATTTCTCCGGAGGAAAAATAGGTCACACACAGAGTCCAGAATCAGAATGACATAGAACCTCTCAACAGTAACTCTGAGAAAAAGAACCCTGGATACTGATTCAACCCAACAATTGTTATATAACTGTACTGGAAGGAGAGGAGAGGTCTGGTACGTTTGTAAGGGGCCCACAGACCAAAGTAAAAGAGCTAAATCCTCATCTTCTATTGTAAGAAGTCAATTTGAATACATACAATGGATAAATCAAGATATAGCCATACAGTTAGTATACTGCTTGGAAAAATAGAGACAATACAAAAGAAATAGCTAAAGAGTCTCAAGTGGTTGCTTCTGGTGAGTGGGATGGGGTGGTAGATTTAAATTAAAAAAGAGGTTTAAAAACTGATTAGGAAATAAATAATATAGACCCACAACCACTGAATTGTAAATTTCAGTGGGCAGATCATATGGTATGTGAGTGATATCTCAATAAAGTTGTTTTTTAAAAAAGTGAGTTCAGGGGACAGAAAGAGACATACCAATTTTTCCTTATCTATGCATCCAGGGTGAAAATGGTATCAGTAATTGTCTCTGGGGAGCAGGGTCAGAGGGAGGAAGAAAACTTAGTTTCCATGGTATATCCTTTTGAATTATTTAATGTTTGCTATAGTTTTATTTAAAGTAAATGAAGGAGGGAGGGATATAGCTCAATGGTAGAGAGCGTGCTTAGCATGCACGAGGTCCTGAGTTCAATCCCTAGTACCTCCAAATAAATAAATAAATAAATAAATAAATAAATAAATAAATAATAAACCTAATTACACCCCCACAAAAAAGTAATAAAGTGGAAAAAAATTTTTTAAGGTAAATGAAAACATACGTGGGGAGGGTATAGCTCAAGTGGTAGAGCACATGCTTAGCATGCACGAGGTTCCAGGTTCAATCCCCAGTACCTCCTCTAAAAATAAAAAAATCAATAAACCTAATTACCTCCCCCCTCAAAAAAATTTTTAATTTAATTTTTACAAAGGGTAAATGAAAACGTAATTTCAAAATAAAACAATGAAGTTAACAGAAAACACTTCATTTTTAAACAGGTTCATCAACAACTATGCTAATGAAAATACAGCCAAATATGAGAGGAAGTAATCTAGAGCAACGTGAAAGGGAAGGAGGACTCTGACCATTAACTGTAACCATACTGGTACAATGTTAGGGTGATTAGCAAATGCAGTGATGCACCTTAATTGCCAGAATTCTAAAAATTTTGAACCGGAAGACACTACAGAAATTATGTGGTTCAGTTTCTTTAGGATGAAATTGAGTTCCTTCATGAGAAAACCAAAGTCCAGGCAGGCCAACTGAATAAACATCCAGGGGCTCACAATTAATGGCACTGCCCAACTGAGACCTAGACCCCCTCCATCCCAGTAAATAACTACCTGTTAGACCACACCAGACAGCATCCTTCCTAAGAGTCCACGCATCAAACAGAAAAGGGCAATTTCAAGACCAAACTACCAGTCGCTAAAATGTCAAAGGAATTTGATTGCTTACCTGTTAGGGCAGAGATAAAAATAAAGTGCAAATAATCCCCATGACTACCCAGAGGTCACTTGGACAGCATAACTCAACCCTATGACCATAATCCTTAAATTAAAAAAGTCTTTTCCAATTTCCAGAAACTCTTGATGGGCAATTTGTTCCCAGAAATCGTGGCACGTGAACTCTGTAAGCTCACTTACCCAGAGAGCACCGCATGCTGCCCCAGACAGTCCACAGACATCGCTGTTGCCTACAAGAGAGAACACAGACTCAGTTCTGCCAGCAAAGCCAGCTCAGGTGGGAGAAGACAGGAGGGTGGTCACCTTTGGGTCTTCCTTGTCCCATGGCTCGGGTGGTCCCCATTTGGCAAGTGTCACCAGTTCCCTACAGTAGATACTTTAACCTCCTTTTAGTTTTCATCCAAATCTCATATTCACATTCACAGTAGGGTAGTTGTTATCTGTTTCCCCCAACACCAGGACTACATACAACCAAGCTGGCAAATTCCAAATTGAGGAAACAAGTTCTGGAGCTACTGAAGAATCTGACTAGCTCAGAGCAAACAGCTACTAAGGGCCCCTTCCAAGTAAAATCTACCCTGGGACTCACTCTCTCTCTCTCTCTCTTTCTCTCTCTCTCTATCTCTCTCTTTCTCTCTCTCTCTCTCTCTCACACACACACACACACGTGCGCACACGCAATCCATGCCTTTCCAAAGGGCATGGACTCCTTCTCCAAGCTGAAAGGCAACTGGTAACACCACCCCTGCTGAATCCACAGTCGTATTCCTGCTACTGAGATGCCCACGGCCCATTCAATTTGAGTTTTCTATCACAGTTTACTTGTTTGTACTTCCCAGGTCTTCCAGTTCCTCGGGAGCACCATCTTTTCAGGATCTGATATCCAATATCCAAAAGTCCACACTGAATCAAATGAATTTGCATTTGGGCTGAAGCATGAGGCTAATTTTAATCATGACAATGACAGCCTAAGTTCTTTATTTGGATAAGTTCAAATCCTGCTGCATTCTCAGGGCATTATCTGAAACAGTGTGCACCACTGTTTGGTTATTAAACACTCTAAGTTCTTTCTAAGAGACTATCAAGAGAGAATGTACCTTGTACACTCTGCTACACTCACAAATCACAAATGGCAAGCAGAAATTCTCTTTGTCACTCTCACTGGTCTTATTAATGGATTTCTCACACTGGCCCTCCCTCAAGAAACATGTCACAGGTAATATTAGGGACAAAAGGCCAGAGTGCTTTCAGGAGAGCCTGAAAAGTGATTATTATGCATCCTTCATTCCACTAGAGTCATGAGCAGAGAAAAGCCCACCTAGAAAGGGAGGCAGTGAGATGAGATGTCATTTCCAGAACTCTTCCGTGCAATTTATATATTAAGGGTATGAAAGGGGCAAAGCAGTACCTCCAACTAGGGGAAGTACAATCTTTCTAGAGGGTGGGTGGTAGCAAGAATCCTAAGGTGCCCCCAACATTCTGGGCCATTGGTGTTCATACACATTCTCCCCATTATTCACACACTAATCTAGGTACTGCTGTGAAGGGATTTTGAGATGTAATTAAGGTCCCAAATCAGTTGACCCTAAGATAAAGAGGCCTGAAACAACCTAAATGCCCACCAGCAGATGACAGTGGTTGTATATACAAAAATGGTAAATATGTACAATGGCATACACCCTACAGCATGAATGAACCTTGAAAACATTACATTAAGTGAAATAAATCAGAAAAAGAAAAGGACAAATACTACACTTACAGGCAGTACCTAGAAGAGGTAAATTCATAGAAAGAGAAAGTAGAAAAAAGGTTGCCAGGGGCTGGGGGAGTAGGGAGTGGGGTGTAACTGTTAAATGAGTACAGAGTTTCCATTTGGGATGATGGAAAAGTTCTTGGGGAAGGGGAGGAGAGGGAGATGGAGAGACTTAATCACATCAGCCCTTTAAAGCTAGTCTAGAAATCATAAACAGAGGAAGTCAGAGAGCCAAAGGGTGAGGGAATTAGCATGGGGAAGATTCTCTGTTGCTGACTGCGAAGACAGGGACCACGCAGCAAGGACCTGAGACAGGTCTCCAGGAGCTGAGAGTGACCTCTAAATAGCAACCAGCAAAGAACAGGGATCACAGTCCTACAACCCTCAGGAACCAAATTCTTCCAACAACCTGAATGAGCTTGCAAGCAGATTCTTCCATAGTCAACCGAGACCCCCGATGAGAACACAGAAGACTAATGCCCAGATTTCAGCCTATGAGACACTGAACAGGGAAAGCAGCCAGGCAGAGCCTCGACTTCTGAACCACAGAACTGTGACCTAATAAATGGATGTCGTTTAAAGCTGCTAAATTTGTGGTACACTGACAATAAAGGGTGATCTGGTAATAATACAAAAAAAAAAAAAACGAAAAAGTCATGTCCTTTGACTGGTAGTTCTACCTCCAAAATCTATCCAAAATACAGAACTTTTACACACAGAGTTGTTTAATTCATGTTACCTATAAATAAATTGTGGATATTTATACATACTTATATACAATGGTATGTTCTAGAAGCATTAAAGAATGACACAGAAAAACACTGGAGCCAAGCCTGCAAATAGTGTCAAGACTCACCATAACACCTTATCAGAGCAAATCATTTTTTAAAAAGTAAAACAAAATAAAACAAAACAAAAGCACACCTAACTGATGTTTCCCTGCCCCTACCCCAGAAAAAAAAGAAGCCAACATTATGCTTTCAGGGGCATATGAAAGAGGGTTATGCTAGACTGTCTCAAAGCAGAAAATGGAGAGAGGGAAGTGGTTTAAGCAAAGGACGTGGAAATAACCTGACCAGGGTAAAAGTTAGCACTTGGTCAGGGACAGGAGTGCCCCACAAGGCCTCACCACCCTCAGTGCACCCGATGGGGAACAGCTGGGAGATACCACATCTGGAGTCACAGGGTTCTTAAGTGATCCCACTGCAAGAGAGGAAGGGAGCCCCATAATGACTAAGAGAGTACCTCCTAGCAGCCTGCAGGCAGGGCTTGCTGCAGATTAAAGACAGCCCAGAGAAGTAAAGTGGTATTTCATATCTTACCATGAACTGAAATTTAAATCAGCTACTTTCGTCTAAAAAACACTGAACAAAATATAGCAAAATGTTGAGGGTAGCTGTTCCTATGGGATTTTAAATTTATTCCTCTAAATAAGCCTACATTTTTGTATTATTTCTATATTTGCATTATTTTATAATAGAAAACGTGTTTCTTCAAGGCCTCCTTCCAAGTCTCTCCTCTTTCTGCTCCTCTCACCCTGGCCTGTGGCCTGGTTCACAGCAACAACCTCCCAGAAGTCTACCTTCTTCTCTCCCTTTTCTATTCTACCTAACACTAAACTTCTGAAAACAGAGTTCTGATTATATCAATCCACTGCTCTCAAACCTTTGTTAATTTTTCACTCTGAATAAAATCAAGTGGAAACTCCTCAGCCTTCAGACACATTCTAATCGGATGACCGGCTCAAGCCACACCCACTTACAGCATTCACTCAATTCTACAACTCTCCCAATTCTGAAGAGATGCTTAAGTTCTTCCTTTCACCTGAGAAGTCCTTCTCTCCTACTCTGTTATTGAAATTCTACTCATCTAAGAAGACATACCTCCTCCAAGAAGCTTACCCAAAGTCTGCCAAGGGGATTGCACCTTCTCCCAAAGCACCTTCCCTGCCCCTCCGTCACAGGTCTTGCCTTAACTTTCTTAACTTGCTTTGTGGTGGTTACTGCTGTGCACAAGGATCCTCTCCCATGAGTTGGTGAGCATGTACAGGGGAGGGCCTATTTCATTTCTCCCAGGGCTCCCCGCAATGAGATGCATGCAGGCACTCTGTGCACATTAGCTAGTTTTGAAGATGGGTCAGAACCAGGTCAAAATCAGGGTCCTACCAGCTCGTAATGTGCCAAGGTGATCCTTCACATCTCAAAGAAATTTTTTCCTTAGTTTCCCTCGCTTATTTACCACCCATGAATTTATCTACATTTCTCCAATTCTCTCATTTTTTAAATACCTCCTAGGATAATGAACTTTGATAGTTCACTATCTGCTTTCCAAAAGCTTCTACTGAAATCTGATGACAAAATATGTGTACCTTACCTGCACACTTTAATGTAAAATTTTAGTCAAACCTTCTTTGAATCATTGTTTTAAAATATTTTCAATTTTTTACATTGAAGTATAGTTGATTTACAATGTTGTGTTCGTTTCAAGTGTACAAATGATCCATTTATATATTTATATGCATTCTTCTTCTGATTCTTTTCCACTATAGGTTATTACAAGATGCTGAAATATATAGTACCCTGTGCTTATGGTAGGTCCTTGTTGTTTATCAACTTTATATACTGTAGTGTATATATGTTCACCCCAAACTCCTAATTTATCCTTCTCTCCCCTCTCCCCTTTAGTAACCATAAGCTTGTTTTCTATGTCTGAGTCCCTTTCGTAAATAATGAACCTTTGTTTTTAGATACTGAAAAGTCCTCTCCCGCCTGTAGGAAACAAACTTACTGTTGAGATGTCAAGATCACATCTTTAGACAGAAGAGAATAAAGTTCTTAACAGCCCTGCTCCTTCTACTGCAGGACTGCAGGATGGTGACCTTTGCAACACACTTTAGGGGTCATATGACTTCTATGAAATAAGACCACGATAGCCCTGATTGTGACAGTTGATTCTTAGTGGCTTGGGGAAAACATAATTCATTATGTGGAAAAGACAAGCTAACTGATGGCTGATAAAAGACATTAATTCCATGAGGCTCTGTGCCTCCACAGACAAATTGCTGCTGCTCTTGTTCAAAAAAATCATTTCTTCATGAAGGCAGCTGCATTCTTAGACATTTAGTTTCACCCATCCAAAGAAACTGACTACATTTCCTCAAAAGGAAAAAGTTCTACATGGCATTTTTGCAGACATAAAACAGAGTTCATCTGGTACAACAGAAAGGACACTGGCTACACAGGGGCATAAGGGAATTTTCTGGAGTGACGGAAATGTTCATCTTAATTGTGGTGCTGGTAACAGGACTATATTCATTTGTCAAAACTCAACACATTATAGAGTTTCAAGGGTATATTTTCTCATACATTAATTATACTTCAATAAACCTTGATTTTTTTTTAATTACTCTTTGTGGAGAATGGACTGGAAGGGGGCAAAAAGCTGGAGTACAGGGAGTGGTCCCAGAGTATGTCTAGCTACTTTGGACATAACGGAGTTTGAGACAGCTCACAGATGCCCATGTGGAGACATTAAGGAGACAGTTGCTATGAGTCTGCAGTTCCTCTCTTCATCACAAGAGTCATATTCTGTAGCATTTTTGCACTGACTATTGAGTTAGAGACTTCTCAACCACACCTTCTACCACCTTGCCTCTCTTTGAGAGTGGAAATCCCTATTCTTCTCAGTACTCTGAACTGCACTTACCAATACCATAGCCACTAGCCACAAGTGGCTATTTAAATGGCAATTCATTAAAATTTAATTAAACTTTTAAAAAAATACAGTATCTCAGTCACACCAGCCCCATTTCAAGCATGGAAGAGCCGTATTTCCATCATCTCAGAAAGTTCTCCTGTATGTTGTTGTTCTAGAAGACTAGCTCTTAGTGTTAACACTCAGTGATTCCAGGGATCACTTCCAGGTAGCTGCCAAGCAGCACAAGTTTCTTACAATTAATCGGTGACAGTAACATCAGTTTCATAAAGTAAATGACACTTACATAAACTGTAAAGAAGAGTTTCACTCTTCAGCCTAGGGTTTTTCTCTGAAAAACCTGAGTTTTCTTTCTTTCTACATTAATGAAATAGTTAATAATAAAATGGGTCCCTACTCCTCCCGATTATCACCAAAATCATTTACAAAACCATTCTAATTCACACTAAGACGTATCCTTTCAACTTAATAGAAAAAATCAGAAAGAAAAACAGAAACTCCTGCAAGGCAGTTAAATTACCCAATTTACTTTGTTCTCTTACTATGACAACTGCTGTTTAGGTTTAATTATTTGATACGACTTCATAGCATCCTAATACATGTGTCAGCACCCTCTCTGCAGGTCTTTTCAATTACGCCTCTGTAGAGAAGCAGGGGTGAGACTACCTGCGTTTCTGTGAATATTAAAGGGTTTGCAGATTAGTAGCTTCCAAATTAGCAGGCTCATAGGTAGGACACATGACTGTTCTCGGTCCCCAGTGACAGCAATTAACAAGAAGGGTAACAGGAATATGGTTCTTTTTCCCTAGGAGTTTGACACCTCCCTTAGGGGAGCAGGCCTCCTGGAGACACCATGCTGACAGTGTGCAAAGTGCTTTAGGCTCCTTTCATCCAAATTCAGCTGCTCAAATTCTCCAGGAGGGCTGTGTATTGAGGGCACTATAGAGCAAACTGGTGGGAGGCTCTCCACTCGTTCATCTTCATGGCAAAAGAAGGGATGAGTTTTAGAAAGAAGAAACCACATCACCCCCTTATTATAAATTCAGATTTCCCTTCATTATTAATCACCTGAGTACTAACACAGTGCCTGGCACAGTGGGCACCTGGCAAAAGCTCAGTAAATCCATACTGAATAAATGAGTGAATGAAAACCTAGCACACAGAGGTATTCAATAATTATGTGTTGGATAAATGAAGAGAATCACCAAGACACTGGAGGAATAAGGGTAAGATATTTACTGTTTTGCAACAACTGTATGGCCAGCTCATTGAGTAAATACAAAGCAGGGTAGGGTAATGAGCCCAACAAGGGCCCTGGGACCACATACCTGCATTCAAATCTCAATGCGACCACATAATGGGAGGCCTTGGCCAAGTCACTTGAGATCAGCCAAACGGGGACCAGCTTCCCCGTTTGGAAAAAAGGGGTAACATCTACTTAAACTGCATGATTCTTTCATGAAGTAGAAAAAAGAAATGTAGATAAATCACTTAGCACAAGACCTGGCATCATAAAATTCTCACACCAATTCTAGGTAGGTATGATTCGTACCTCTTACAGGTGAGAAAACATGCGCAGAGGGTGATGACAGGTTAAGAGCTGAGCCGGGATTCGAACCCGGGCACTACATGCAGTGCATACTCCTACTCACTGTATGGTATTTTCCACCAGCCTAACATCGGCAACCACTTAAAAGGTAAGGCGATGAAACAGGCACTTTGCAGGCAGTTTTTTGTTGAATCCACTCCAAAGTCCGGTAGGGCAGGGTTAAGTTCATGCACATGAGGCTCAGAGAAGTTCTGCGACTTGCCCAAAGTCACTAGGTGCGAGGGTAGCAAACAGCCCCTCGTCATGGGAAGTTCCCCTCTGCGCTCACTAACTGCACTTTGCTGTCTCCAAGCAGACCCCACTCCCGGTACCCACGAGAAGAACCCCGAAACCAGTCCAAGCCTGCCCCAACCGCCCCCAACGGTCACCGAGGCTCCCCTCGCCCGCTCGGGTCTGAGAGCTCAGGGTCACCTCCTACCCATCTCCTCAGCCGGGGCCAGAGATAGCCCCGCCGCTCCCGAACGGACCCGGCCGCGTGGGGGAGGGGAACCGGGAAGTGCGCATGCTCAGAAGGCTCCATTTAGTCCCCAGCTCACCTGGGAGTCGCGGAACTCCACCACTACGTTCTCGCTGCTCCACCGCGTTGCCATTTCCCATGCCCAGCCCCCAGGGCCCGAGGACAACGCGTTCACACTCAGACACGCGCGTTCTCGGGTTCAGTGAGCCCCAGGCAGCCTGCGAGTCAGCCCTGCCACGCCCCGCTCCCTCTTCCGTCTGACTGCAAACCATTGGCTGACCCAAACACTAGCTCCGTCCCCTCTTTCCGGATCGCCCAATTGCGGCACCGCGCCTGCCCCCCAGACACGCCCCCTTCAGTGCGTCACCTTGCTTGAGTCACTCACGCTCCTCGGGGCTGCGGATACACGCCTCCTGCGGCGAGTTCTGCCGGGAATTGTAGTCCAAGGTCGAGTACATTGTGGGCAACCCGGAAAGAGCTTGCAGGTAAGGGTTTGGCCGGGGGGAGGCGCAAGCTGTTATTTTTGTGATCTCGCTGGTGTCGGTAGCATGGCCCAGGCCATCTATAAAACCAAACCAGTGGTTACCTTTTCCCCTGAAGCCTACCATAAAGGCATTGAAACGTGTGAATGCGTGACTCATTGTCTTATACAGTACAGCAGTGTCTGCCAAAGTATCCTGGGACCCAGGGGGGTCCCCAAAGGCAAAACAGTTTTCATAGTCAAACTATGAAGTTATTTACTTTTTGGGGGGAGTGTTAAGTTTTAAGAGTGTAAGGGGTCCTGAGATTAAAAAGTTGGAAAACTGTTGTGCTGGTGGTGATTACATTTTCTTCTTCAGCCCTGACCTCTCAAATCCTGGGCTTAACTGCCTTAGCCTAGGTTTCTCCGTACAAGGAGGAAAGGACCAACTTTGGTTGTCTTAAGGAGTTAAGCACCTGGAATGTAGTCAATTCACAAGCGTAAACTATTGTTATTGTTATTAAATTTATCGCTATTTCTGAGTAAGCAGTTGCATGAATAGCAATAAGAAGGCTTCCCGTTCCTCCTGGAGTGTTGGATATAATGGAGAAGACAGACTTGTCAACAGGTAAGGCGACCAACTCGTTCCAGGAAACTACTCAGTGTGGGCAAACAGGGATAGCAGGTCACTATCCAACAGGTATACACTCGGCAGAATGAATTGTGTTTTAGAAAAGCAATGTGCCAGGAGAGAACAGTATAAACGGGAGAGCTGACATGGCATCCTGAAGATGATGATATTTGAGCTTTTCAGTATAATATGAGGATTCTGGTAGCATACCAGAATAAGTACTTCAGCATCAAAAAGTGTGAACAAAGACACAGAAGTCTGTAGAGCAGGATGTGTTCCAAAGAAAGACCTAAGGCAGTTTCCTAATTAGCACTCATGATGTTGTGCTTCTTTCCTTCCTTCAATACACATCTCAGTTTGTAACTCAGTATTTATTTACTATTTTCGAGCTTTAGGAGGACAGGAACCAGGTCTGTTTCGTTCAGCCCTGCGTGGTGACTGCACGTACCAGGCGCTCCAGGAATATCTGTCCAATGAATAAATGCAAAAAGCAAATGTCATACCCCCACGATGCTGTCTAGATTAAAAGGATCCCTTCAGTGAAACTGAAAGCAATTTCTGAAACTGTTCAAGGTCTTTACTTGTAATTCTTTACACCAAGAAGAAAATATAGCATCATCGATAGTTCTCCATAAAATCCCCTTGCTTGCTTTCTCTGATTCACCCATCAGTTATTCTCACACAATGGAGCCCTTAAAAATCTCCTCCAGCCCTGGCCTTCATACTCCTGGATTGACCTTTCTTCCTGCCTTCCAGTTTCCTCCCAATTCTCCATCAAAAAAACCAAAGGAGAGAGAAGGGCCTCAGCTCAAATGGCCAGGAAGGGGGAAAACCACAAGACAGTTTCAATAGCAGGGAGCTGGAAAGATAGAGAATACTTTTTAGGCATGCTCATGTCATCACGTAGGAATAAATGGATTAATTAATTCAGCTAACACATCATATTCTTACTTATTTGCCCAATGCTCAGGATGTGGTAGGTGCTCAGTAAACACTCACTGAAATGAGTGATTAGCAAACAGTCAGATATAGCTATAACTTAGGGTAGATGGCAGGGTGTAGCAAGGAGTAAAGCTAGATAAATGGAAAACGGCTAATTAGGAAGGGCCCTGCTTAGGTGCTAAAGTTTTATTTTGGATAAAGATAGAGATATTCCAAACCTCTCCTCTGTCTGTCTGTCTATATACACCTTGATGATCTGTTTCCCACTAAAACCAGTAGGACTGTCCCTGCCTGAGCATTTCTGCAACCCACCCCAACTCCCACCTCTTTAGTTCATTTCTGTCTAGTTCTCAAAATCTGCCTGTCACGGTTTGTAGGCACAGGATGTACTTTAGGTTACAAGTCCTTAGTGCTCTCTATTTTCCCCATGTTTTCCTTCTCAATGTGAAAAAGGCTGGGTAGAATCTTTGAGAGAGGGAGTATGAGCACCTTTCTAACTGCCTCCTCAGGTCTTCTTTGCCATCTCCCACACATGTTGGCATCATGAAAGAATGGGGACTCCAGAGCTAAGTCTAAAGCTCTCTCATTGCCAGTTTAGGGCTGTGCTTCTCTGAGATCTGCATACTAATGTCCTGTATGAGTCAGAGACTGAGGACCATTGGGGGTCCTATGTCAAGTAGACCCCGACTTGCTGACTAGGCCACCAGGCCCTTATCAGCAAACAGTGTCTTTTCAGAAGGTCACTTGCTAACCAAGTCACAGGAAGGCTGGGTATGTGGCCAACCCTGAAATCCAGGCTCTGGCTGGCTCTTATCAGCAAATGGCCTTGCAAGATGGAGCGCAATCCTTTATCTTTCTGGTTTGCTGTTTCCTCTTATGCAGAATGTGAAGTTAGCTGACCCCTCAGTCCCTTTACATCTGGGAATCTTGGAATCCTGCCCTGAACTCTACTAGTCATTTCCCTCTCTTCATCAATCAACAAATATTTGTGGACGTGCCCACAGGCTCAGGCTCCCTGCTCTGTGCATTTGGTTGATCATGACCCTGATTTTCTCTATTTACATTTTCTCTTTTCAAGTGAAACAATAAAAATGTAAAGAGCCATGAGAGGCCTAGGAGGAAGTTTCTTATTGGGAGATACGTGTCCACCCCCATAGGCCTGTCCTGGCTGTCATCCCCACCCTCTGGCTCAAGGAGGCAGAGGGGAGGCTCTGAGTTTCCCAGAGCTTCCCAGAAGTAGGTTCTAAAAGCCATTTCACTAATTTTCTGAGCTTTTCTAGTCCTAGACTTACATGCTTCCAGATCGTGTTTCAAACTGGGCTTTCGCAGCATCCTCACACACACACACACTGCAAATGCAAATGGCTTTGGCAATGCTAATTTTTTTTGAAGCATAGCTGATATGCAATATCATATAAGTTTCAGGTATACAACATAGTGATTCATAATTTTTAAAGGTTATACTCCTTTATAGTTGTTATAAAATATTGGCTATAGGCAATGCTGATTTTATCAGCTCTTTCTTCTGACTATTCTGGTAGGTGGGTCAGTGATTTATTAATTTTGTTTCACAGCTGAAGGACAGCCAGGAAGCAGCTCGCCCAAGATCAGTGAGAACATGAAGGTAAAGAATAAAAACAGAGGTCCCAAGTCTAGCCGGAGCCATTCTTGCATCTGATATCTTTGCATTGAGAGTGTCCAAAATGACTTGCCACTCTCCCCAGACTCGTAAACTTTAAACCAAGAACCCACAGGAGAAACTTGAAGCAAATCACTTACTGGACTTTTGCTGAAACAAATGACAAAATGAAACTAATCTGAAGCTGCAGGTCTCCATGGATGCCTGTTGCTATGCCCTCTCTCTAAGACATAAAAAATATAATCAAGCTACTGAATGAAGACTTCTGCTCTGAGAAAGGCTGCCACTCAGGGCCACCTAAGAGGCTTTACCTTTGCAAAGCAGGCTCTCAGTTGTTCAGTGGTGCCAGACATGAGAGAGACTGGTTTATGATAACCAGTAGACTGGAATATAAACCTTAAGGGCCAATTTTTTATTTACCAAAAGAAATATAGCTATTAAGCAGATCTAATCTTTTTCACCCTATTGGGAAGCATAGGGAGAAAATGAACTTGTCATCCAAAACTTCCTTGATGAGCATGTTCACTGTAAAGCTGGGAAGTCCAGCTTTGCTCCTTCCAGCTGTGACTTTTAGTGTGCATGTGATATACCATTTCTACATACTTCTCTCTCTCTCTCTTTTTTTTAAATTAAGGTATAGTTGATTTACAATGTTGTGTTAATTTCTGGTATACAGCACAGTGATTCACTTATATATATATTTCTTTTCATATTCTCTTTCACCATAGGCTATTACATGGTATTGAATATAGTTCCTTGTGCTATACAGTAGGACTTTGTTGTTTATCTATTTTATATACAGTAGTTGGTATCTGCAAATCCCAAACTCTCAATTTATCCCTCCCCATCCTCTTTCCCCCCAGTAACCATAAGTTTGCTTTTTATGTTTGTGTCTCTGTCTCTGTTTTGTAAATAAGTTCATTTGTGTCCTTTTTTTAGATTCCACGTGTAAGTGATATCTATGGTATTTTTATTTTTCTGGCTTACTTCACTTAGTATAATGATCTCTAGGCCCATCCATATTGGTGCACATGGCAAGATTTTATTCTTTTTATGGCTGAGTAGTATTCTATCACATATATACATGTGATATATGGTATTCCATCATATATATATAAATATAAATATATATATATATATATATATATATATAAACATACATATGTGTATAAAAACCTGACCCATGGTTTCTTTATCCAGTCATCCATCAATGGACATTTAGGTTGCTTTCCTATCTTGGCTATTGTAAATAGTGCTGCTATGAACACTGGAGTGCATGCATCTTTTTTAATTAGAGTTTTCCCCAGATAGATGCCCAGGAGTAGAATTACTAGATCATAGGGTAAGTCTATTTTCAGTTTTTTAAGGAATCTCCATACTGTTTTCCATAATGGCTGCACCAAACTACATTCCCACCAACAGTGTAGGAGGGTTCCCTTTCTCCCACACCCTCGCCAGCATTTACTGTTTCATACTTCTATCTCTTTATCTATCTCTTTCTATAAATTTATATAGCTGAAACAAAATACAAAAAGGTATACAATGAAACAAAATATTTCTCATCCATCCTGTCAGCCAGTTCTTCAATTTCTACTGTCCAGCCCCCAGGGGACTACATTATGTTGTTTCATGTTTCCATCCAGTGTCTTTATGAATATGGAAGCTAAGAAAAATAGATATTTCTTTGGGGAGCAGGTAAATTTCTTAAGTTGGCATCTTCAGTGCTTATTAATCATTGACCTTATTAATCATTATTATTTTTAATGATAATTATGTTGATAAATCTTTCCCCAGCACCCCATCCCCTCAGGATACAGTCCACGCTCCCTCCTATGGCTCCCAGGACCCTCTTGTCAGCTCCTGAGGACCAGCTCCATCTTTGGTTCCCAATTCCTCTCTTTGCGGCTCTATTGCATCTTTCAGTTCCTTGAAGATGCCATGTTCCCCAGGCCTTTGAACATGCTGTTTCATTTGCTTGGAACATTCTTCTCTTTTTGAAACATGGCTAATCCCCCCACCCAACACACGCATTCTCCTGGCTAATCTTCAACTCATCTTTTAGATCTTGGCTTAGAATCAGTGTTTGTGTCTGTTTCCTTTCATCAGCACCATGGTCTTGCTCTCTCATAGCACTTAGTCATTCATTCACTCATTTCATAAATATTTATTGAGTGCCAACTACTTGCCAGGCACTTCTTCGAGGCTTACCTACCACACCATTGTCACTGCCTGCTTCAAAACTTTGTATCATCATTGCACTGTAATTCACATACCATAAAATTCACCCTTTTAAGTGTATAATTCAGTGGTTTTTAGTATTTTCACAAGGTTGTACAGCCACCACCATTAACTAATTCCAGAACATTTTCATCACTCAAAAGAAACCCATTAGCAGTCATTCTCCATTCTTCTCTTCTCCCAGGGTTTCTTTCTGTGTCAATGGATTTGCCTATTGTGGACATTTCATGTAAGTGGAATCAGACAATATATGGTCTTTTGTGATTGGCTTCTTTTACTTAGGGATTTCAAGCTTCATTCATGTTGTAGCATGTATCAGTACTTTATTCTTTTTATGGCTGAATGATAGTCTGTTGTATGGATATACCACATTTGCTTTATCCATTCATCAGTTAATGGACATTTAGGTTAGTGGCTCTTCTGAAGCCCTTTGAGAACAAGACTCCCTGTGTCTTCATCATAGTATCACAGATTCTAGTGCGGTGCCTGGCACTTATTAGAAATTCATATTTTGTTCAACATTTAAAAAAAAGTGTTGAGTGAATCGATAAGTCAAAAGCCAATTTGATAGTTACCATACTTACTGATTACATGTTTATCTCCCCAGTATAGATCTCTCAAGGGATCCAGTATCTTCTTTTCTGCACAGAACTGAACCATCTTTCTTCTTTCTTCAGGGAGGAAATTGGGTTAAATTTAATCTTTCTTGTTTTTCTTGAGATCACTCCTTTGGATCTTATGTGTACACAAATTCTTCATTTAGGCACTTACAGATAACTTCTTGGGTATTAAAACATTTTGGTTTTTCCTCCATCCATTCTCATAAAGAAATCTCGACTTCCTTCCGTAGGTTTTTTTGCTCACCCTAAGCACTCCATGGTTGCAAGTAGCCTTATTCCTTTTTCTTTCGAAGCTGGTCACACAGGGGCAATCAATACCTATGACAGACCAACCTTTCTTTCTTTGGTTTTCTTTTCAGATTTCTTTACACCTTGTTTTGGCTACTTGATTTGGAACTGTCTGGGGACTTTTAGAGCAAGGAATCAGTTAGGCCAGGGACTGGGTGAAGCTCATAGCCAGCACTCAGTGCTTGAAAAATAGTTGTTGAATGAATGAATGAACGAATGAATGAATGTGAATATGTGAGAGAGATATTGCAAAAACGCAGGCTTGGTCAACAAATGTTTATTGAGTACCCGCTGTGTTGCAGGCCCTGTAGTGCATGCCAGGATAAATGGTAAACAAAACAGGGGTCCCGCCTTGGACTAGGGAGTTTTTAAAATCACTAGTTTTAGCTGCATTATTCCACTTCCACGTCCTTATTTTTTCACTTTATCATACATCTAGTGATTTTCAAGATCACGGGTTTTTTTGTTTGTTTGTTTGTTTGCTAAGCAACTATTTTATTTGGGGGGAGGAGGAGGGAATTAGGTTTATTTGTTTTTTAATGGAGGTACTGAGGATTGAACCCAGGACCTCATGCGCACTAAGCATGTGTTCCACACTCCCCGCTCAAAATCACATTTTAGCTAAGGAATCTACCCATTTGCTTAAGCCCAATTGGGAAATTCCGATCTACTGTCAGGAAAAACTGGAGTCACAAGTACCCCAGGGCGCTGTTTACCCCCAACAACTAAAACTTCCCCAAATGCTGAGCTTCCTGATTTTAGAGATTCTTGTATGGGGAACCTCCTACAGAACGGACAGCACGTCCACCAGAGGGTGCTGTGGGGGCAAATTTGTGCTGGGAGGGGAACTTGACCAGCGACCCTCAGAGCCAGGTAGGTATCTTTTTTCTTTCTTGTGTTTCCTTCCCACCCCTCGAGCCGTGGTCTCCCCTCCCCCATAGGTGGGTCCCCTCTGAATAATCAGCTACTCCAGCGGCACTAAAGAGTGCTTGCTTTGAAAAGACTCCTTGCTTCTGTTCCTGATGTCCCGCGCGGTTCAGGCCACTCCGGTTCCCCAGGCCATTGGGGGCGGGCTGGGTGGGTGGGACCTCCCGGGCGTCCGTGGCCTGGCGCCGCAGGGGCTGCGAAGGGGTTAACCCGCGGGGGGGGGGTAAAGGGGGAGGGGGCGCGGGCTGCGCCT